ATGAAACTATGAATATAATCTTATGGCAAAATCATTGATTTGCTCGGGGAGACCCGAAATAGGTGTCAGATCAAAAAGTAAATAGGATGTGTACAATGGCTCTGTGTAATAATGAATCCGAGAAAGTGTCATATTTTTAAGTAGTGGTATAGGAGAAGTTGCCGATAATTAAGAGATGAGTACCCCTCAATATAATATCAAGAATGGCAGTGTCCATGTTTTACTATGTGAAACCCGAAACATGTGTCCGATCAAAACTTAAAATAGGAGGTGCATAATGGCACTAAGTATAAAAAAAGATTTTGTGAAAGTCTCATTAAATTCCATTCAGAAGTTGCGGAGAAGAGATGAGTACACGTACAGCAAGGAACTGACAGACGCAGAGACACCCCTGTCTTTATACACCACTCGTTTTTGAAACGGGGTGGGGTGGAGGGGTATAAATAATAACTTTCAAAAGTTAATCAAATTCTCATAAGCTTTTCGTAGTGCTCCTTTGACTAGTTCTCCACCTGGCCCTTCCACTTGAAATTGAAAGAAATGCTGCATGTATACGGACAGAGGGATCTAAGGACCACATGTCACGTCATGCATTTTGCCAGTGGGTCCGGAGAGTGCCAAGTTATATTGAAATCAGAACAAAACTGTAGAAGTATTTTGCAAATATTTCAAAGACATTTCTATTTTTAGTAACCATGGCAACATCGTTCACAGAAATAAAAAAACTGATATATAGAATTATGTATCTTAGTGTAGTCTACTTTTGTGCCAAGTTATATTGAAATCAGACGAAAACTGTAGGAAGAGTGTAGCATTTTGAAAATATATATTTCAAAGAAATTTGTATTTTTAGTAAGTTACTTAGAATTAACCATTGCAACACTGTTCATTAAAATTAAAAACCGATGAACTTATTTATTTATTTTAGTCTAGTCTACTTGTGTGCCAAGTTATATTGAAAAAAAAATCAGACCAAACTGTGAGAGGAGTATATAGCCATTTAAAAAAATGTTTACAGACGGACGGACAAACACCTTACTAACGCATAAGCTCTTCTGGTCTACCTTAAAAACTATAAAATAAAATTGTAATATCGAGTTCAAAAGTTTCCAGCCAAATATCCCTAGAAAAAATGTTCCAATACAGTGAAATATATCACGCCTATTTACATGTACTTATAATTAGTGGAAAATAAATAATGCTATTGGTTTATTCAAAAAATCAAATACTATCCTGTGTTGTCCGAGTTCTATTTATATACTTGTAAACTCATTGCCACGTCAAACATTTACACACAAATTCATTATATACATCATGGCCAGTATTATTATCACGACCATTGAATTTACGAAATGCTAAATTTAAAACCTTGTGACATCAACTAATTTGTCCGTATCTTTTCCAAGTTGATTGTACTATGATTTTGAATATCAAATAAGTTGGGAAACTTAAAAACTAAAATAATACAGGTAATTGTTGAATATAATATAGATAACTTTAGGCTTTTATTTTGAGTACACTTTGACATATATCGATCGAATTCGCATTAATGTTATAATAATAATTATTGACAAAACTCCATCAAAAATCAAACAAAAGATTGCCTCTCATGCATGTAGATTTCTCTTTAAATATTATAAGTAAGATTGATTCTGGCCTCGAAACCATAAAAAGAGAACAGACTTTTAAAAGTCAAAATTTTGATTTTGAATATCTAAGAGTTTATTTTTGTGTGCTTAAAAAATTGTTTATATAACATTCAAACGTACGATGACAAATTTGTTTTCTTATCATGATTTCAAAAGTAATATTGATTTGAAATTTTGACTTAAGTCCGTTCTCTGTTTTTTATCTACTGATCTGGTCTCCTAAGACTACAAACATGTCGATCAAAGTGATGAACTCCGGCATGTGAAGATTTGACAGTGGTTTAATTTTGTTGAAGACAAATCACAAAATATTGAAAGAAAGTGGGCGCACTAGATGGACAGTCGGCAGGAATCACTGACACGAAACAATTCAGATTTAAATGTCCAAGCACCATGTAGTAATACATATCTTATACAATGAACCTAGAAACTTCACGAGAATGGATTTCTGCCTTATGTTTATTGATTTGTTAATAATTTGTTTTTCAATCAAAAGGTGTCATGAAAGATAAATTATCTATGCTTCAGACATTCAGTAGAATGTAATAGAAGTCTAACGCAAACTAATTTTTGTGCTCAGTTTTTAAATGCACTGAAAATATTGAATGTAACAGTACGATCGAAGTTTCTAGTGTTTTTTTTTAATATATTCAATATTTTTTCATCAGGTGTAACTTGGCATGTATGTTTATCTATATTTGGGAACGTTAGCACTATAAATGAACAAAATGTGAACGCATTGAAAAATAAAACAATTAATGTAAAATAATTTATGATACATAATTAGTAACTATATTCAAAGAGTATTTCTTTCAGTACCAATTCAAAAATTATAAGCAAAAAGATTAAAAAAAGAAAAAAAATATAAAAATCACTGTATTCGAACCTAAAATGCTGCTTCGATATAGCTTGAATCCAGCGACAATCCAATGTAGCTACCGCGGGACACTATACATAGCTAGCATTTAAATCATTATTTAAAGCCAAAGCCTTATTCAATTGGACTTGGTCAATTTTCTACCAGAAAATAAATGGAAAAAGTTTAGATTTTGGTATTTCTGGGTCGTCTCTCCATTTTTTAAACAACTGGAATAAATTTTACGGTTAAAAATACACTGATAACACATTTAAAATTCATGGAGAGAAGACCCAGAAACAACGAAATTAATGAAAAACGGCTATTTTTTTATCATTTGACTCCTACGGCTATAAAAGTGGATATTCAAAAAAAAAAAAAACATATTTAACTGAATATTTGCCCATTTTACATTCACCTACAACACATTTTTTATTGGCTATGTTTTGAAAAAAATGTATAAATCAATGATATTTTTTTATTCTTTTTATGAGCCACTTCTCCTGCCGAATTGCCATCTTAAGCGCCCACTTTCTTTACGAGTTTAATTGAAAATTAGCAGTTGTTCATGATATCATGTTTTCAGTCTGTCGTGGTGAATATCGTCCAGTGTAACAGTTGAATAGTAATATGCTCCGGTGGATCATTTTTTTGAAAATCTTCTACATAGATTTTTTTTTTAAAGTTCGTGTAGTCCAGATTTGATCAATACTACTTTTAAAATATGATGTAACGTACTACACTGACTGACGTTTCTCCATCACAGCAGTTTTATTAAAGTAAGGAGTAAAGCTAAATGATAATTTGAGCATCTATTGGACCCTGCAATACTCATTTTAAGGATTTTTGTCATGTTTATAGTTTTGAAATCAAGTAAATACAGTGAAACTTGTGTAATCCAGATATTGTGTAATCCAAAATCTTGTCTTATACAGCGGAAACTAAGTCCTTTGCAGTAAATTGTACTTGTATTAAAGGTTGTCCAATCCAGGATGGTGCCTAATCCGACCAACTTCTTTGGGACCAATGATGTCCTGAATAGGCAAGTTTTACTGTATACCAATCAAGTTTATACTCAATTTGTTCAAAGATGTTGTCTCAATAAATTACTGTAATTTTAACATATTTCCTGAAATTCTTGTGTTGAGTGAATCTTTGATGAAGTCAACAAATTTTTCATTATAATTCCCTACACAACGCTTGATAATTTTTAAAGTTAACGTGTTAGCCCTGTCCCACTCCATCCCAATTGACCTGTGCCGTGTTTTATAACTTGCCTCGAGTTGGTCGAGCATGTGTAGTTTCTGCAGGTCTCGAATTCAATCGTAAAAGTCGCTTACTGGGGGGGGGGACCATTACAAAGGATATCAATAAATAAGCACTTCTCTATTTAAAAAAAAAACAGAATCTTTTATTTTTCAAGATTGGTAGAGGGTTATAAAAAAACAGAATTTGAATCTTTCCTTGCAAAATAGTTGAATTAGTCGGCCCATGTACAGAGGTAATTAAATCTCAAAACTTTTTCCCCAATTTTCAGGAATGTTAAGAAATCTTTGAAAAATAAATAATTCATGTTTCTGCATCATATCAATGTACCATTGGAAAATGATTGTCGTTTCATTTCTTTCATCCTGCCCTGGAGCTACGAAAAGAGCAAACTCCAGATGGAGGTGAGTTGCTTCATCCACAGTCACACCTCAAGAAAACCATAGTCATGTGACAAAGCAAAAATTACTGTCATAGGGTTCACTAGTATATTATTAATGTCTTGAGTATTTTTAACTTCAGAGTCTTTTTAAATCTGATTGACAATATGACTAAAGCTTTTGTCAGATGTTTGAACAGTGATTTTAAGATTAAACTTCTCAGCCCTGTTTATACCTAAACTTCGCAGGTTTACTAATCTTCTTTCATTATACAATTTGAACAATACTCTTTTTTGTGTCAAACACATAAGATTGTCCAGTCTGGGTTGGGGCTGGGTGATGAACTAGATATATATGAACCAAACCTTAGAAACTGTCACCCAACACTGGACCGATTTTTGATGCTAATGTGAAACCTCAGATTACACTTTGCAATAAAGTAAACAAATAGAAATTTAAGTATCAAAATCAATTAATTTTATCTTTCTTTCTTCTTGGTTTAGCTATTAGTCTATGATGCTTGTACACAATGTACATTTTGACACTGCAAATGCTGCAATGTTCATCAACAACCATATATTTGGTGTTTTAAAGACTAAAAAAAATTTAAGTAGCAATATTGTACGAAAAAATTTAGCCTCAGGCAACAAATAAGTTGTTTTATCAATTCTTTGTTTGTTTACTTGTTACATATTCTTTCCAGTGAATATTTCAAAAATTTACGATTTGAGCATTTTAATTAACAAAAAATGATAATGCTTTAAATCAGTTTAGATTTGTGCCATAATTTTTCAGTCTGTATATTTTTTGCACACTGTCATTTACGGTATTCAAAGAAAATGCAGGGAATAATGTAATGATTTTTTTTTTGACTTATCACTTAAAAATAATATAGTATTAAAGATATTAAAGCACTGAAACTGTTCTTTTGTAAAATCTTAAAGCAAGGAGAATTTAATCCCCAATGTAGAGAAGCTATGCTTCTGGCAGAAATCATCTCTTGCATTAGCCTTAGTTCTCAATGTATGTACCAATTTGATTGGCCTATTATGCTGTTTTCATATGACGTGTATAGGGGATGGGGTCAATCACTTAAACAGAATATAATAAAGCTGGCTGAAATCTAGGTCATCTTCTCATTCCTCTGTGTGGAGGTCGTCCATTCATGTTCTGAGGTCCCTGGGGGTGGTAGTTCTGTGGGGGAGGGCGGATCCCTGTCATCATTGGGGGGCGGGGCTGCATCTGCTGATTTGGCATCATGCCAGGCCTTGGAGGGTGACTGTTGGGGTAGCCTGCAGGATTACCTGTAGTTATTTTTAGAAAAAAATCCAAAGAGAAGAAAAAGTTATTTACAACCAGCAAGAGCAAGTAATTGATAACTACATAAATTGTGTGGCCTCAAAGGAAATTAAAAATTATTAAACATGATGCAAAGACCAGCTGTGGTTTAGTTTTATATATTTAAAATAAAAATTGCAATATAAATGAACTTAAAATTTATAACCCCCTAAAAGATGTGTAGGCCCAAACCCAAAGACCTCTTACTTATTCCTGATCATGAAAATGACATTAAGTTTAAGACTGCTTCAATATTAAGGAAGCAAAAAATATTTGTTTAAACTTTGTTTTGACAATTTTTCAGTAGAAAAAAAAACATTTTTCAGTGAATTCAGATTTGACTCTTATTTAATAGGGGTGGTTGTGGTGGATTATACAGGGATAAAACCTCTGTAAAATCATTTTAAAATTTTAAAATTTTAAATTTAAAATTTTAAATTTTAAAATCATTTTATTTTGTATGTACATTTTCTCACAATTGAAGCCTTATCTTAGAATCTAACATTTAAGTACAAGTGCACCCTAACTTTCCTATCCCTACCTGTACCTTCACCCTGGGGTCTGCCTGGTGGTGTCCCTTGTGGGGCCCTCAGCGGGGGTTTCCCATCGTTTGATTCTGTGGGTGATTTTCTTTGGCCTGTTTGGTCTGCCTGTAATATCAGATTCATTGGATTTTATTTCTTTTAATAAAAATTCATTCATTCATCCATAAAAAAAAACATGTAATATTATAATATAACAGAAAAATATGTGAAACAATGTACCTCTATCCAATATTTTAAGACATTACACCACATTTACCTTTGGGTTGTTGGAGTATTCTGGCTTTGGTTCACTCATATTTGGTGTCTCTGAAAACTGCATACAAAACCTGCATAAGAGAGAATAAAAGCTATCAAATCACCATAAGGGTCACACCGGGGAGGTCAAAAGGTTAATATGGTTTTATTTTGACATCACAAAATTTGAAGGCCATGCAAACAAATGCAACATCCTAAACAAAATTTGTCGATGTTGATGTGTGTTTGTTGCTCCCTCATTTTAGCTATTCAAATATGGTGTGTGTCATGCAGGTATAATATGTATTGAAAGATGCATAGTACCATGAAATTATAATTAATTGACAAAATAAAAGCACTGAAGACTTAATTCAGTCATTGTGACATATTGAACATCAGAAATTGAAAATAACGAAAATTTCAGATGTTCAATATATTGTCTTAAGATACATGGCTGTAGAGGAAAATTTTCATGTTATGCGTATACATTATTCAATTTCTCTATACAACTGTGCAGTGTTGACACAAACTTCCAAAATTTTAGCAAATCAAGCTAAAATATCATTTTTTATTACTACCGGTATATTTTCTCACAGATATAAATCGGCACAGATTAAATAAAATTAAAACCACAGCATATAAATACTTAACAATTATGTAAGGTTTATAAAATGAATTAAAATACTTACTCTCCAACTTTGACAACTTCGCCTGATTTTCCAGTGTACAAAGTGAGACAACTCTTCCAAACATTTGAGTACCTAGCAAAACAGTTTTAATTAATATGTATTACTCAGTGTTTCAATTTCAAAGTACCAGGCTTCTTTTATGCAGCTTTATGAAATATTGGAGTTCTTTAATAAAATTCATTTATTAATCTATAAGTATAATTCAAAGATCCATTTCAATACCTCCCAGTCAAAATGACCAATTAATTCCAGATCAACAATATATACAGTAAATCTCTGGAGTTTATACACTTCTCTATAGACATTGATGGTTTGATATATTTTGGACAATTCCAGAGGCCTGCTAAACAGAGCGAATGTTTGCGAGTGATCGCCAAATTTCCTTACACCTCCAGTAGAAATGTTCATGAGCCCTCTCTCTGTTGAACAGGCCTCTGTATTACCTCTATAATGGCCCACGTTAACTACTAATTAAACAGAGAGTTTTACCCCTTAGTAAGGCGACAAATATCCCCAGTCTGCATGAGATCACCGGTTTCGTCCCATATAGAGATGTTTATGCTTCCAGTTTTATCTGCAACTTTAACTGATCTCACATCATGGCCATCCCTTGTTCTGGTTGGAGCACCTAAAAATCATAAAATGAATGATTATTGATAAACATGTAGGCTCCCATCTATAATGACCCTGAATTTTATCTGATGCTTATATATTATAAAAACGATGTGACGGAAACCATTTTAGATTTAATTAGACCTATTTGAAGAGCTAAGAAATAAAATTTTTTAAACCAAATAGGCCTGTCCTGAATTTGCTTATTAATATTTGAAAGTTTTTTTCCCAAAAATTTCTTGGTTAAAAGGTTCTTAAATTCACTGATAATAAATATACTACGAAAATATTGAAAACCTTGCAAAAAAATTTCAACAGTCACATGATTTGAGTAACTTAAAGCAATATGTGCTGCATTTTTGAAAATTTTATTTAGCTGTTAAAATGTGTAATTATAATAAATTTTTATATAATTTAAACCTTTATGATCAATAAGACTAAACGAAAGCAGAAGAAAGACTTCTATATACAAGCCAATATTCAGTTTTATATAAGAAATCATTATTGTACAGGATGACAATAATGTAACTTTGATTCAATCGAAGCTAATACATAGTTCTTCCATCGCAAATATGAACAGCAGAATTTATTAATGTTATTTTTTCTGTCATTTAAATAGTTAATCAAAATTTTACAACAAAAAATTCTGATATCAAAGTTGCAGCTCATATTGCTTTAAGAATTTTTAATGTCATATGCCATCCTAATCTTTGGTAGAGCATTTTCATAACTCGGTAAAACTCGAGTACAAAAAAAAAAACTTGAAAAAGTTCAAAGTTTGTAAATATTCCATAAAATAGAAAATGTACTAGATTCCATATATTTTCTATATTAGTTCCGTTAAGAATACTATGAATGAATAAATATACCAATCTCCAGTACAATAAACATAATATTTATGTTCTTTTGTCCAGGTTTTAAGTCTTTAATGTTGATGAATTGTTCTCCCATTGTCCTTTCTTTTGGACGGACCTGTACAAAGAGGTTCACAAAGGGGTAAACAACCTTCACCTGAAATATATTAAACAAAAATAGATTTAAGAGTTAAATCATTATTTCTCCGATATGAAATCTATCTGAATACTTCTCTTGCTTCCTCTGCTTACAAATGATCACGAAAATTCTCGTTCAACCGTCATACACCAGCAAAATCAGCTCATCTGGCAAACCCGCGTTCTCAATGTAAAGGTCATTCCTACGCAGCTCTTCTTCTCAACTCAACTTCTGGACAATTTTTTTTCAGATCGGGTTTTGTTTCTTTGTTTGTTTTCTGTCTTTTAAACTTTAAAATTGGACTATCACGTATCTATGTGTTCGATGATATGAGGATAATACGATCTACGAGGTGTTGTCTGAACAGTGAAATCGTGACGCCTTAGCAAGAACGGTAACTCAAGTACATTAAAGAAAGCACCTAAGGCCATGCTAAAATAATCTATGGTTTAACACTCACAGGCGGGTTTCTTCTTATTTTATTAATTTCATTTTTAAGCTGCATTACAATTTAAAAAGGAACGCATACTTATTTTAATCCAAACATAAGTTACATATTTTTGTAAATTTTGTTTACCTTAAGGTAAGTCACTCCTGAAATTTGTTATATCAAGGATTTTTAGAGAAGTATATTTTGGATAAATACTCATAAAGTGTAACTCAAAATCGCAAAGAAAATAGGGGGTCAGTGTGCATCCTACTGATCTACGGTACATTTAAGTTGACCTTTTTGCACTTAAATTTCATCTCTTTGTTTAATTACTTCAACCCTTATTATATTTGATTAGATGAAAGCATGGCAATAAATATAATCTTATTTTACGTAAAATAGTTTGAATAATATTAGCATTAAACAAATCTTGCAAATCAATGCGCGTAAATTATTGTGTGACCTTTTTGCACTAAAACATTTAACATATTTGGGGTATTAAAAAACTAATAGGCAATAAAAAATTTTCTTATATCAAACTTTTTACGACTTGAGTGCTGATCAGTCACAAGTATCGAGTAGTTTAAAATAATGAAAGAAAAAGGTGGGGTCAGTGTAGCTGCAGATCTGTAGCTCTCCGAAAAAATATATATTGATAGACCGGAGAGCTACAGAGCCACCCATTGAAAAAACTGTATATTTATTGCGCACAAAAAAGTGCGCTCGGTTCTCGATTTATTTCTCTATGTTTTTAAAGCCCTAATCTCAAAATATTACTAACGGTGTGTTCCTAACATATTCTTTGACTCTTTCCACAACAAAACATTCCTCATAATTGTTGTTAATAGTCCTCCTGGCCCTGATATTGCAATCATCGGACATTTCGCTTATTTAAACTGCCATTTTGGTTTCAAAGATAATTCGGTCCAATGTGCTTCGTTCAGATGTCAAATACGAGAGAACTTGATAGAGGAGAGAGTAATTTTTTGAAATCTTCCATTTTTTGCAATTGAGGTAAGACTTTGGAAGAATTAATCAAGAATCGAGCGCACTTTTTTGTGCGCAATAAATATACAGTTTTTTCAATGGGTGGCACTGTAGCTCTCCGGTCTATCAATAATTTTTTTCGGAGAGCTACAGATCTGCAGCTAGGGTCAGTGATGTTAATTTTGAAATATTTGTCAAAATATGTGATTTTCAGGCAAAAAATGATGTAAATTTGACCTTGACTTCTTTAATATATTTTCATTTTTTGGAAAATATTGTTGGGGGAAGGTATAAAACTTAGTCTAAAAATATGAATTAAGACCTATATTAAATATTTTTAGCAATATCAAAACGGAAAATATTCTCCGAGTAAAAGTATGTGAGACTAAATTTCCATTACATTAAATTTTATAAATGTGCAGATTTGCAGAATTTTCTGCGAAATATCCTTCCACCAAAAGAAATAGTCCCTCATATATCTTGCTTCTTTGTAGATTTTTGAGCAGTTTTTTCATTGAATATTCAATAATTTACATTGTTGAATTTAAATATGTTATAAAAATTGAATTTTAATACGTAGTATTGAAGTAAAAGCTTCTGCGTGAACTTTTCTAAAAAGCTGACGAGTGACTTACCTTAATAATTGTTTATTACTGATGAAAAAAAGTGTGTTGACCATGAGATACTTTACACCAACTGTTAATCGCGTGCGATAAATTTTCGCGAGGCGAATATTTCTCGACGAAAACCGGTCCTTAAAATCGTCGCGAACAAGTTTACCCCTAGTATACTGCGAAAAAAAGTCGTTGCGAATAAAAGTTGATTTACATAGAATATGTGTCTAATCTTTATACCCGTACAGTGTATCAACGATCCCACTCGGAAAAAAAGTCTTCGTGTCTGCGCCTTTTTTTCAGTTTTTTTCTTTTTTTAAAAAAAAGAGACATTATGAATTGTTAATTCATAAAGTCATGTCAAAGCTTTTGTTTCACCGGGATGGCGGGTGTATATGTTTTTCAGACAAAAAGCAAAACAGAAAAAAGAATTAAGTGTTTTTTTTTTTTGTTTTTTTTTTATTTTGCCAATTTCAAATGATATTCTATCGATCGTATCACTTCGTACATCATCAGTGTACGAACGGAAATATTTATAAGAGCTACATGTATTTCACAGCTGTTTAACCATTTCCGCGAGTGTTTGAAAATCCGGTGATGTTTTAAAGTCTATAGTATCTGTTTTCAATGGATTATTTGGGAGTGGGGAGTTTTTAAAATTATTATTGACTTTTGAATTTTTAAAATGAATATGGATCTCCTTTACAAAAAAATTCTGGACCCATTTTTAGTAATAAAAAATTAAAATGTACGAGTATATATAGAGAAAACAGTTCACATAAAAGAATGTAATTTTAGTTCACAATCTTGCGTGCAACGACAAGTTCTATTTTTTTCTACTTTGTGTATCATATTCAGTGTAACTGCATGTGTGGGTGCATTTATCATCATGTGAAGGAATGAATAACAAATGAACTTCTAAGTACATTTTATACTGTGTTCAATATCCTTCCTTGTCCTTAAACCGCAGTAAGTGTGAGAAAGCACGAGTTCGATAGAAACATTAAAATTAGATGTACGACCACTCAAACTTGGAAAATAAAAGAAAACAACAATGAAAAGTTGAGCCATATTAGGACAAGTAAAAATCTGAAAGAGGAATCGACCCCCCCCCCCCCCCCCCCCCCGAAGAAAAGGAATCGACCCCCACCCCACCAACATCCTATACCTGCTCTTGGAATCTAAGTTGTTTTGTACGAATAGGTATTAACCGTTGTATAATTAATTAAACATATACGCAAACTTGTACATTTTTAGATTAAGATGTCGTTATCTACATTAAATAATTATCAAATACTTCTTATCAAGTATTTTTAACTTACTCTGAAATAAATTTGCATGAACACACCTATATGAGAGCACAAATACACGAACCATTTATTGTACTTGTCGGCGGTGTCAGGTTCTGTGTTTATATTCTGACGTTATCTTGGTGGTTTATTTATATACTAAATAATTCATAAGAGGTTTCAACTTAAATATGTGTTATACTTCCCTATTTTCGATTCAGTCACGCGTAAGGAAAATACCAGATAAGTATATTTCGTAAACAGCAAATATGGCGTCTACGTATCTTTACCTGCTACCTGTATTCGTAATGCTTTTATTTTCATTAAAGACTAGCAAAGGTAGGTAGTTTTATTTAGTTAAACATTTTCAATCAATATTAACGATGAATAATTAAATTCAGCTTCAACTAGGCCAAAAAAGGAGAGGGGTGGTCTAAGTACTGATCTTTCTATATTTTGTTCTGGCGGAGACCCGGAACTAACTATATTTCGTAATTATTTCACAAATTTAAGAAAATTAATTTTTCAATTAAAGATTTGTTTTAAAAAAGCTCACTCTGGCCATATATGTGGAATTACTTTAATTTTTTAAATAATAAATTAGAGCGTTATTTCATTTTACATTAATATTGTAATGAAGTAATTTTAAGGTTCAGGTTGAATGGATTTAAAGTAAACAGTGTTTCAGGTGTGTCATATCACAGTATTAACAGAGGTGCTGTATATAACGTTTACTTATACATGTACATTTATTTCATTTGTTTGAAAGTGTATTTTTTTTAATTGTTCGAGTAACTATATTTTTATTGTTTGGGGTAACATATTTTTTATTGTTACTCTTAGTACACAAAATAAACCATTCTTTGAAATAATAGAATAACAAGACCCGAGTACTTTAATTTTAATTTACACGTAGTAAATTTTGAACTTACTTCAATGAATAATTTATATACGTGAAGTATGTAAAATATTTACTTTCAGAACATTTAAAAATTAAAAAGAATGAAGAATCCTAAAAATAACACGTTTCTTTTGACTTCTAAAGTTAATTGAAAATCGATCTTTCTTTTATTAAACGATGAAATAAAATTTCTCGAGACAAACGCATTAAAACATTGACTTAAATTAAGGTGCATCAAAATGAAAGTAGAAAATAACTTTAGAGGGATGGGTTATGCGTAAAGAAGTGAAGAAAAGTCAAAATAAACGATAAAATCAACTCACAGTGAATTATATTGAGACTCCTTATGGCACGCCGATTGGTTCAAAATTATTTTCTGCACGACCTTAAACAAAAATTACACGAGTAAGTAAAAACTTACACAAAGTGAGGAAAGTATACACAAAGTTATTGAAATTTACACAAACTACAGAAAAACTACACAATCAACAAAATATTTACACGATGTAGTGAGAAAATTACACAAACGTAAAAACGAAAACTGCACGAGTGAGAATACAACATCGACATAATATACGACGCATCCTCATTGCGCACATTTCATTAATATTCATTAGAGAACAGCTCAGGGTGGCTTGGATGCTTGAAACATATACCTATAAATAAGTAATGTGTTAGTTATATTTATTTAATCTTTTTAAAAAGGATTCAGTCTTTTGGAATTCCGCTAGACTCTCAAGAATATGTAAAATATGTTTTATACATGTATAAAATTACACACAATCTTAAGTATGGAATGTGAACACCCCCGATTAAAAACATTCTACAATGTATAAATAACGTTAAGGGATGCACATTACCAGTTGTGTGTTTAATTGTTAGATTGTCATTCCTCTATCATTGTCTATATACCAATTTCTTTTGAAAGTGTAAAATATTGATATAGTAAAGGTCTTCATAAAAATTAATATAAACAGCATGTGATGTAATACAAGGCAGTTAACAACAAATAAAACTCTTCTCCTCCACCACCCACTGTGTGTACGTCTGTAATAATTGAGGATGTGGATGCGTGACCTTTTCATTTAGAGAGAACCCTCCCTGCTGGTGAAGGAATGCAAGACAGCTGTACGCTAATCGATTTATAGTTATCTTACACATTCATAATACCTTTTGATTAAGGATTACATGTACTAGCAATTCATACAGAGATTTTGAAGCATTGTTGCGATCATCTGGGTTGTGGAATTTCACAGAAAACTTTTTGAAAATAAACAGTAAAAAATAAAAATAAAGCAAATAATTGCGCAACTTTAAGTTTTATATTGAAACGATCGACTAAATTTAAAATTTATATAATAAACAGACACATATAATATCAGTAAAGCATCGCTTTTGATAGTGGGGAGGGGGTTAGAATTTTTTTTTGACAAATTACCTGAAAAGCCTAATTGCATGACAAGCGAAAAAAAGGCGGGGATGGGTGGGAAGTGTCCGAACTCGAAAATCCTATTTCGTTGAGGTAGTGAGGCACCTTCAATATTCCACTTTCTTTTCTAAACACATAAGCACATATTACTTAGATTTAAACTACCAAACAAAAAAGGGGACGAGGCTTTTCAGTGGATATTTACGATAGAAATATGTTATGTTTGCCAAAGTAAAGAAAACGAAAAGGGGGAGGGATATGACCCTCCTGATGCTACTGGCTGAAATAATTTTCTATGAATTTAAGCGTACATGAAGTAGTCAATCGAAATCATGATTGCAATTCAACCTAAAACTATAACGATAAATATTGTAATTAACCGTCCATATCCTGGAATTTGCGCTCCACCTAACAACATTTAAAAATTGAAGGTTAGGAGGTCAACCAGGATATAAGGAAAATTTACTGTTGCAAAATCTACAATACTCATTAAAAAGTAGGGAGGAGGGGGGACTTCTACAGACCCGTTTGCCGATTAATTTCATTTTATGATTATACAGTCATGTTCTTGTTATAATGTCCATAGATTTGGATTGAAAAGTGTTATTATAAAAAACTTAAATTTATTGTTTGGGAAATAATAATCAAAATTTTATGAATACGAATTCTACATGTAAAGAGAATTTGTTGTCTTTGAAAATATTTGCAAAAATTGTGCTCTATTTGGAACATGATTTATTTGCATTTTTCAAGAATGATAAAACAAGTTCTATATTCTTTCCATTTATTATCAAACTGCAGTATCCATTTCCATTTTATTTATGTGTAGCATTGTATGTAAATGTATTTAGTAATTCACATTGTTTTAAAAGTATTGGTGTGTCATTATGGTCCAACGTTTTGAAACTTAAATAAATTTATATTGGGACTCCAATCGATCCACGAGCCAGGTCCGCCACTGACCATGTGTTTTTCCATAGCCAGGATTATTTGAGTAGAGTTTTGTTATTTCATTTAGACAAATTAATTAACAAAACATAAAAGCGCATGTGCATAGAGTATATAAGTATATTAACCGTTTATCTGGTCCTTTTTATTAAAAATGAAAACATTTATCAAGTAATCGCCATTACGAATGAGGGCAACGCTTACAAGAAATATCTTGTTTTTATTTCGAAGTTTAAAACTGAAAATATGAAATATCATGGAAAAAATCATAACAAAAAGTAGGCTACAGATATTCAACCAAAATTGATATCGGATATTTTATAAGTTTGGATACATTTGTAAATAGAAATAAAATGTTTTTATGTTTGACATTAAAAATACGTTGTGTACATCTAAGGTAATCCTCACTTTTAAATTTAAAAATGTACACATTTGTATATATCCAGCCAACTCAATATTTAATTTCCTATTCCGAAATCGGAAAAAAATCTCCTCAAATGATTTTTTAAAATCAAGATCCATGTCAGCCGTACTGTACTTTCATCGTTAGGTGCTTTTAGTTCGGAGTCGAGTGCATCATACGCAATGGTACTTTTTTTTTTTTACCCCGCATTGTAGCACAAACGTACCGATTCATTCTTGTTACAATTTTTTTCCGCATCATATACATCCTTGATCTCGGTCAATATTAGAAAAACATAGTAATTTCAAAAAAGCTTTTAAATACTCTCGCATAGATCAGATGGAAACACTTCATCCGAAATCGGATTGTAAAAAAGCAACTTCCATTCTCGATAACATTCAGCTTAGCACACACGAAGAGATAAAGAGTACAGAAAACCAAGAACACTATGAATATTCTATGTGCATAGTAATGATATGCGCAGCTGTATGCGCAGTAAAATTGTTTGTGTAATTTTTAGTTTCCTCTACTCGTGCAATTTTCGATTTTTGTTTGTGCATATTAAACCTTTTAATCGTGTAAAAAATTTCGGATTCGTGTATTTTTCGTTATGTTTGTGTAAAAATCTTTTAAACTATGTGCAATTTTTACCGATACGTGCATTTTTATTTTACTCGTGTATATTTTTCTTCTAGCTCGTGTATAAAATCGTGATCGTTGTGCAGAAAATAATTTTGAACCAATCGGCGTGCCATAACTCCTTAATATACTTTAAAGTAGCGCAAAATCAACGAAAGAAAAAAATATATCAGTACTAACCAGCTTTATCTTGATTTGAACATATTTTATTTTAACTTAATTACTTTATCTTGTACCGGTTTCAAAACGCATTTCGTTGACACTCATCATATATTTAAAATCCTATGTATTAAAAATAAATATTGTTTATTAATTGTATTAATTTATCTTTATTAATGTATCGATTATTTTATCCACTTAAGCACTTGTTTTTCAGGAAATAGGCTTTGTTATCTATATTGCACTTAAATTAAGGACAGATGATACAAACAAACTTTTATTTAAAAAAAAAAATGAAAATATCAACTTGAGGCACGTTTTAATGAGTAAAATGAACAAGTTTCACCGCGTTGTTTTCATTCAGAGTTTCACTGTAATTGATCTGAAGTGAAAAAAATATATTTGTTAAGGTAAAATTTGGAATATCATACAAATTTTACAATTTCTTGATAATCACTGATTTGCAACCACAATAGGCCCAGACATATATACCAATCCATGCATCCATTTACTGAGTATTTGTTTGTATCACCTGAACACTAATTTCGACACAACCTTACAATATGTTCTTTACAGGACAGATCGTGTGTACAAGTAATGAGACGGTGTGCTGGGTGACCGATATTACGTATTTCTGTTTGCCGTCCCAACACAGGTGTGATGGAGACCGGGACTGTCCGGACGGCTCAGACGAGGAAGGATGTGGCGACGTCGTCCGTAAGTACACAAAATACATATGTAGCAGGGGAAATGACTCTTTCCTTGACAATAGGGTAAACCCTAACAAGAAAATTTAAAGGTACCAATCTTGCGGCATAATACGTCTCGAGGAAACTTATATTCTGTTGTAGGATATTCTCATGCATTGCCCTAACATTTGTTTTGTTGTAAGATATGGTCATAGTCTATACATTTGTTAGCACTTCTGTTGCAGGATAGTCTATACATTTGTTCTGTTATAGGATATTGTCATTGTCCATACCTTTGTTTTACTGAAGGATATTGCTATTGCTTAATATAGAAACATTAGTTTTGTTGTAGGATATTGGCATTGTCTACACCATTGTTCTGTTGTAGGATATTGGCATTGTCTATACCATTGTTCTGTTGTAGGATATTGGCATCGTCTATACCATTGTTCTGTTGCAGGATATTGTCATTGTCTATACCATTGTTCTGTTGTAGGATATTGTCATTGTCAATACTCATGGGAATGTGGGGTACAAGATTGTATAAGCGGTTGTCAGACCGGCTGGCAAGGTTACAAATGCTGTAAGATGAAATTTTCTGTTTCATACAAGAAAAATGCTTGAAAGTTTAAAGACAAATTCCCTTATCTCGATTCATTATATAAGCTTTTTTTTTGATATTCCTTTTTTTTTGAAAATTGACCGATTCTGTTTTCAATTATGCAGCATATAAAATAAGAAACAAACCCAGCACCCTAACACATATTACCACAACTACAACCAGCCAATCAAAAGTTGACACGTCATGTCATTGTGAAGACCAATCAATGTGCGAGGATTATACGCGAAGCAGATCATGTTATTGCCAGGAAGGTTGGACAGGAAGTCGTTGCAGTAAGTCAAGAGTAAAACTGGCGTGATATGACCGAGGAGAAAAAAAATCATGTGTAACAAAAGCTTCGGATGTAATAGATGATTTTGAAAGTTTATAACCATCCCTCGCTTCCTCAGTGCTTTAAAAATATTTCAAGTACATATTAAGAACTTCTTACACGTCTCTAGTTAAAGAACAAAATACGGTATTAGCAGTAGTTCGCCGAAAAATTTACGCTATTTTCATTTTCTTTTATTTGTTGTTTGTTGTTGTATATTGAAGAAAGTAAGATGCGAACTAAATTCCAGAGGCATAAAAATGACGTAATTTTCCATTATGACGTCACTATTACGCGCTAAACATGGAATGGTCGTTCAAAATCGCTAAATAATAGTGTGAATTAATAAAACTTTGTTAAAATTAAACCCTTTCACATGCAACAACCACTTTTATACTTCGAATGCAAAATGCCAGGTACATATCTCATTCACACAATGAAAATGGTGTTGGTTGTCACATGTGATCAATATAAATTTTGGGGGAAAATGAAATACGGAAATTGGTAATTTACCAAGGTCATTTACTCTTTTAATTCTTGTTTCTAACGACGCTATGTTCGCGGAATCGAGGGAAGATAAGACAGAGAACCAGAGTGTCTTGGTAAGTTATTTACTTCCATCACTAGTAATAGTAAATCATAGATAGTAACATAATACGAAAAATTTATTAAACTGTAGATCTATATGAATTTCGATTAATTTAGAATTGACATATTGGATACATGTCATTCAGGCACGTATCATAGGCTTCGGAACGGGGGGTGAGGGTCTATGTGGCTTAGACATTATACAGGTATTGAAAATTGGGATTTACCTTTTTTTGCTGGTTTAGCCCCTCCCCCCTTTCAATTAGCCCTCCCCCTTTCAATTTGCTTCCGATGCCCATGCGTATATTTTCATACATGTAATTTTGTAAAGAAGTCGTGGGGTCGATAAAAATAAATATTACCAAAAAAAAAAAAAAAAAAAGAGAGAGAGAGAGAGAAAAGCATGACATTCTTATTAGAAAATTGTGAATCATAAAAATATTATCAAGTATTATAAAGATGACATATATGATGATGATATGATGATAAAAATGCAATGAATCCACAGTTTTCCGACACTGCTCGGTTTTTATTTTAAATGTACTAGTCTAGGACTACTATTTAATTGTGTTAAAACTAAAATGACAAGAATTATTTCCATAATATCTTGTGATAAATATTTCAAATTCACTGAAAATTAAAATTCATATCTTCAGATTTAGGGTTAGGGTACAAACACGCAATGGTCTTTCAGTGTGAGGGTGTGTGTGTGTCTGTGAGGGGGGGGGGGGGGTGTTGTCGAACTTCCCTTCAGTCTCGTGCACTGGAAAACCCGGTCTAGTTGGATTTGATCTGCATCCCCCCTCCCTCCGCTTCCTTTTACTTTCCGACTCCTTATTCTGCAACCCTAGCAAACACTCGATCGAATCATTGAAGTTTCATATATTGAAAACCATCACGCATGATTGCTTGTTTATATAATCACTTTACCTTGAAAAACCATGCATACCCTCTCCCGCTTCCTTTACCATTACAACTTAACATCCTTCCTTATTTATAATAAGACGATTTCTAAATAATTTTTTTGAAAAATATGTAAAGTCAATCAAGAAAGCTATAAATAAATTTGTAAGTATCAATCCTTACACATTAACTGAATAATCTTTAGCCTATGTGGATCATTTTATATACAGAAAATAGTATACAAAAACAAACTATTACTGATTATGGCATTTGCTGTCCTGACTCACCGCTATGTAGCGATGTATTATTGATTAATTGTGCTTTTTTTTTTTAATTGATTAATGCAACTTTTCTCTCCGTCTTCAAATGAAATATTACCCTTTGTCTCAACACATTTAACTCTGATTAGTCAGTTTTCTTCTGGAGATCTCCATCTTCTTCTGATATGACAGAGAAACAAACAAACAAACAAAAAAAAAAACAAAAAAACACACACACTCTCAAATAGCTGCTCTTAAAACCGATCATGTAAACATTATTTCCCGCCGAAATGTGCATGGCCAAAATATTGCTGACTCGTAGTTACAAACCAATTTATCAATCAATCTTGTGATATTAATTCCATGTAATTATGCAATGATTCTGGCACTTAAATTATGATATCGTCCACTTTCTAGGTCAGGGTTTCTTATATCTTAAAAATTATTATACCGCTACACACTTTTTTAAAATTGAAAATATAAATATTTTATGCAGATTCATATATATAATATAGATGAAATATAATATTATAATTGATGAATGAAATATCAATGTATCTGGTTTGGGAATCCCCCACACACTTTTGTTGAGAAATCGGTGCTTCCTTATACCTGGAACTCTTCGTGTATCGTGCATATCATTTACAGCTTGACCCCCCCCCTTAAAACACACACACACACATAAACGCCCTTATCCTCATTTGCTTTATTTTGGTGTCTTTGTGAGTCATGTCCACGTTTACTAGTATTTTTACTATAAATAATAAATCTACTCTATTCTATATATCACATATTTTCTGTTTTTGTTAAGCCATGTGTAAAATTTTAACTAATTATATTTAAAAACAGAGATTAATTTTCATTATTTCAGAATGAATAGTAACAATGTCGGGTAAATTGAGACCTTACTCATGTGTAACTTAAATTTAACTAGAGACGTGTAAGAATTTTTTGGATTTTTTAAAAATCTCTTTCATCTAAAATAATCTTATAAAATATAACGTGAACTCTATCGATCAGTTCTTAAAAATAAATTTTCATTAATATAAATTTTACACATTTCTTTGTTCTAATAAAATATTGAATACTCAAAACACTATGCCTATTATAACTTATGCTATAGTTAATACTGGCATTAGGTTCGTAATATCTTTATTTTTATGTTTTATTTTTAAGGCATTAAAATCAAGACCGCGGTCGAAGAATCCTTGCCAATGATTGGTGGCGCTGTTGTGATATTCTTTGTCGTCAGCGCATGCGTGATCATAGCTGGCTGTTATCAGCGCGAGTATGTTATTTTCATTTTTTGTTTAACATAAAAAAATAATTATGTGCCATTAAACTTTAAGCCTAAATAATTCAAAATGTTTTTCTAAAGTAAAGTAATTAATTTTCAATTTAAAAAAAGAATTTAATTGTAACTTTGCAGACGAATAAGGAGAGGGGTAAGACGTGATGGTTGGCCTTACAGAGGATTGACCAATTCACAGGAAAGTATTTCTGGATCCGCCCCGTCTAGATCACATAGACTGGACTCAGCCCCGCCATCTTATAATGAAGTAGTCAACCAGGGAGCACAATGTAAGAGACCTATGCCTCACATTTTTGCATTCGAGATAAAATACTTTGACCGTAGGAACCAGGGATGGATCTCAGGGGCATCTTATCCACTCTGTTCTCTACTTCACATATAAAAATACACAATATTGCATATTGTTTTTGTTTTAATTGAACAATGGTAATTGCTTTGGTTACTAGATCAGAAAATTCCGTGAAACATTCCCCTTACAGTATGGAATAACTTCAGAAAAAAACCCTCCATTATAAAATCAAATATTTTCCATGGGTCATATTTTTTAAGTTTGAGATTTAATTCGAGGGTATCTCCAGGCCTCGTAAACTGATATTCAACGCCCACGGAAATTAGTGATTTCACACTTACGAATATATACTGCCGTTCCCCGACGAATAGGTTCATTGTGCAATAGCACTGATAGCCCTGGTGACAATTTTGATAAAGCTATACTGTATCTACAATTTGATACTTATATCATTTTACATTTTCATGGTAGTTTGATTAAATTTAAATTCTTGTTGAATTATATAATATTTGTTAAATAAATTCACATTGTTCTTGAAGAGCTCAGTTGATAACACAATTGAGAACTTTGTTTTTCGCTTATGCTGTTTTAAAAATGAATGTGACAATATGAATGTTATTTCCGTGGTAAATACAGCAAAAAATACGTTTATTTATAATTATGTTTGTATAAATTACAGGTAACCCTTCAACAGTATTTATAGTCCTGTCTCAGGAAAACGAAGCATCTTCAAGCAACGGAGAAAATTCAAATGAACCACCGCCCCCATCTTATGAATCCATTATCAAAGAACACGAGCGGGAAGGGAACCAGCTGCAAAGAGAACCAGTTCAAAGTGATACAAGTAACGAACAAAGTGACTCAAACAGAGAAAGAAATGAACTCCGTGCTCAGACTCAAAATCAAACACAAAGTGAACTGACAAACTCAGAAAATACCAACACAGCTGATGTGGCCATAATGTAGTTATGTTTGTTTATTTTTTGTTTTTGCCTTTTTTGGGAACAGAACCACTTCCTACAATCACCATATTACTAGTACTTTGATGGTTCTCCTGTTCCGGACTTGATGTTAGTTGTTATTTCTTGTCTTATCATCTTGTTATTAAAAACTGATTTTCAGATATTTTATACTTTTACTTTTAAAAAAAAGGTTTAAAAATGTATTAAATTCTAGACGTATTTTTACTTATTTTCTGAGGATAATTTTTAAGTGTATTTCAAAGGTTAATGTTATATTTCACTTTTGTAAAATAAAAGAACTTATTCAACTACAGCTACTCATATCCCACAATGTTGCAAAATAGATATTTAAGGTATTTCCACCCTCTTATGATGCCATAGGTTTTTGAAAAAAATTGTTATTAATATAAATACATGTATATACCCAATAGAACAATATTCTATGGAGGAATGACTTTCAATATGTGTGATAATGAATATAAAGAATTAAAAAAAAACTAACATCCACTGAATATTATCTCCTTTACAGTGCTGTTTGTCAATCATAATCAGTAAACACCGCTTGGCATACATGTTATCACCTATACAGACATCTTGAGCAATGACTGTTCATAAACATTAGTAGTTCATAGATCACATAAACATAAGTACATGGATCACATAACATTTAATTTAGTAGTTTGTGTATCACATCTGTATCATAGGCAATAACATGGAATGGCCAGTATTCAGCATTTCACATACAATTCAATCGTTAATATTGCATTGGGTAAAATATTAAGTGTACATTCAAACATGTATTTATAAATTAAGGGTCTCTTTTAGTATTTGTTCATTTTAATTTCACACCTAAATTCACCGGGCAATTGAATGAAAATACATGTACCACAGCTAAGAACCACAATCAAGTCTCTTAGCTGTCTTTGTCCATCGCAGATTAGCAAAAATCACATGCCAGATATCCACGTTTTTCAAATATCGTTTTTTATCAAAGACTTTACACCCACAATGTATATCGTAGGAACATGTTTTGTGGTCCTCTAGGTTATCTGCGTGTACTATGAATCGATCAGCTTGGCCCAGAACTTGAAATCCCTGGGACTGAAGGTGATTCCAAGGACAGGTGCTGTGGAGGGGGGTAAAGGCCCCTCTTGTAGAAACTCAAACTTTTGGACAATGGAGGCGGTAAACAGGAAGATTTCAAACCTGGCTAAAGATTCTCCGAGACAAACCCTTCTTCCTGCAATAGTAATGTGTCTTATTAAGTTAAATATATGAAACATCTTAGTAGAGGTGGCTAAACCCTTTTGAATTCAATCAAAACATACTCCCTTACCTATTGAAAATGTCAAAATCTTCAAATTATCATTAAATTTTCCATCTTCTTTGATAAACCTATCGGGGTTAAAATCGTCTGGATTAGGAAACTTTTCAGGGTCAAAGTTTACAGAATCAATATTAGGCAGCATGGCACATCCTTTGGGTATTCTGTATCCGTTAATGTATGTGTCTTGGGCTGCTGTGTGGGGAACTCCGAAAGAAGGAATACCAATTCGGAGTACCTCGTTGATGACCGCTAGTGTGTAGGGAAGATTACAGCGGTCGTCCAAAGAGGGCAAGCGATCTTTGCCGAGGTGATCATGAATTTCTCTGCGGAGTTTGGTTTGGACATCTGGGTAGTTGATGAGGTACGCTATGATCCAGCGTATCACTGTGGCTGTAGTGTCAGTTCCGGCATTGAACATGTCAGACAGGACGCGAATCAGTTCTTTCTCTGTAAACAACATAAGAATCTATTTTAATCACTGCCATTTTTGGTCCATATGCATTTTTGTTCATGTCGCAAGAATTCGACCTACCAGCATGACCACTACGGAATGAATTTAATAAATTTGAAAGGGGTACCTTTGTTCATCATAATCATATGCTTTGTCTTTTAAATGTACACGGGTAGAGAAGAGGCTCTTAAAATAAAGTATTCATTTTCACTTTATGATCATTAGAGCCCTTACTCTAATACTCGTGACCCGTGGGCCATGATTTTCATAACTTTTTAACAAGACCAATTGCTTTTTGCAATCAATCATGCCAAAAATTGATTGCTTGATGTCGAAGAGAAAAGAATCTTGAAGATTGCATGACTTTGGATGGTTTTATTCTCATCCATCAGATACCAAAATGAAGAGGACATGATATTCACAGTTTTTGTTATTCTTCACAAATAGATATGACAAAATTGGTTGAAACTGTTTCAGCGGTTCCGGAAAAAAAGTTGAATATATTCAATTAATGGCGCACGACGACGGACAAAAACAGATAGTAGTTAACGTGAGTGAGTCAGGTGACCTAAACAGAAATAAAAATTCTACCGTTGAACACATTGTCACTCTCGTTTCTACGATGATGCATTTCCGTCAAGTAATAGTCGATGAAGTCGTCCTTTTTCCCTTCAATCCATTTTGATTTATGTTCCATAATTATCTTGCTGTAGAAGGCCTCCAACTTTGCCGTATTCCGTTTCAACATTTTCAGGCCCATCAAATCTCCTGGAAGGTACCTCAGAAATGGAAAGTACTCAATCAGAGAAATAAGTGCTGCTCCTGTTAAACACTCATTTAGGAGCTTAACCAATTCCAAAAACGCTGCATCATCATGTCGGAATCTTTCCCCAAATAAAATTGAGCACAGCACGTTCGACACGCTGACGTGGATGAAGGGCTTTACATCGAATGCTTGTCCGTCCTGCTGTCTGACTGCTTCTAGGAATACTTCCACCTCTTCAAGGATCCGCCCCTCAAGGCTTCGTTTTCCAACTCCGAAGTCCCGCAGTGTTGCAAGAGCAAATGTCCTCTGTTCCTTCCATGATTTCCCGGAATTTGATAAAATTCCTAAAAGGTATATAAACTTTTAATGTGATGCTATAATGTCCGGAAAAAATTGAATATAAATTAATGACAAAAAATAGTAGTTAACGTGATGAGAAGGTTAAACAGAAATAAAAATCTACCGTTGAACACATTGTCACATTGCATTTCCGTCAAGTAACAGTTGAAGGAAAATTGTGTTTATGTTTATTATCTTGCTGTAAAGGCCTCCAACTTTGCCGTATTCCGTTTCAACATTTTCAGGCCCATCAAATCTCCTTTCAGAAATGGAGTACTCAATCAGCGAAATACATTCCCTTAAATCCATTTAGGGCTTAACCAATTCCAAAAAAGATCATGGGAATCTTTGAATAAAAGCACAACACGTTGGATAACGTGGATGAAGGGCTTTACATCAAACGCCTTCCAACTGCTGTCTGACTGGAGGAATACTTCCACCTCTTCAAGGACATATTTCAAGGCTTCGTCATAACTCCATTTGAAGCAAAATGAGAAGTAAAAGGAACAGGTATATAAACTTTTAATGTGATGCCATAATGAAAATTGATAAATTGAATGTAGAAAGGATCGTAGATTTAATTAAAAGTAGGAGCAAAACAATTATGGACCTCTAAAACATCAGATGCAGTGGACTGAGAAAATTATATTTTTTTATAGTCACCCCAAAAAACTGTTAATGTTATATTTTAAAATGCCACAGCAAGAATTCTCTTCTTTTCGTTTATAAGACTTTGAATTTTGTCTGCTTCAAATAATTACATGTTTAACGGTGCGCAGTTGGCACCCATCGGAATTCCGACAGATTGTTGGAAGACCTCAGTTGATTTTGTTCTATGCCCTACCCTCAACCAATCCCAACCCCCGTCCCCAGTCAAAACTCTCAATGATCTGACTTTAAGAATTTTTTTCTCTGAATAAGCGCCTGCATTATTTCATTTTATTCTTAAACCAGTATTTCAAATTAATTTAGACAATTATTCGATCATATGAAAGAATCAAGCATAGAAAAAATAGAAGTGATTTAATTAAGCAAACAAGACATAAATCAAATTAATTCTCTAAGTCTTACCCTGGTTACCACCAAATTCTGTGGTTAATATATAATCCGGTCTATCAGAATAAAGATCTCCTTTCTTGACAAACACATCCCTTATTGTTTCCTCTCCGTTTATTACAACAGAGTAACTTCTACCTATGTAAAACCCAAAGACATCCCCATACTCTTTCCGAAACTCTCGGAATTGTTCAAACATCTTTTGCGGGTTTATGTTAACAACTCCTAGTAAAGGTATTCCTTTGGGACCCGGGGGTAGGTCCTTTGGAATTTGACTGCGTTTCCATAAAATCAGCAACAGAACGAGTAATAACAGAAAAAGTACGTTGGTGAACGTAAATATTTCACCGAAGAACGACATTTCTTTTATCTTAATTTTTTTTGTGTGTTTCCCTATTTATAAATAGTTTCTATGGAACACCTTAAGTCATTTATTTCTACACCTATTTATCTTAACGTCCAAGTATGTTTGGAGGCGTACATAGTTCAATAATTGCTGTTTGGGGGACAATATAATGATTTAAAAATATATTTTATTAATAGCCGGAGGTAATTTCGAATGGTCCGCTTTACGCTATTGGAATATGAATGAAAGTTGGGATAAAGAAACTTGCAAAGGTCTGCTTTGTACAGCATCATTTTGATAAAAAAAAAAGTTGTGTCAGTATTCAAGACAAAAAAATCCTTTCTTTATGTTTGAGAAATACATGTTTTGGCAATGAAGATAGAAAAAAATATACAAGAGATTAAACACAAAGGTCTGGTTTTGATCTAGAATTCCGACATTACATATCTATTTTGACCCTGACCTTTGATCCTGAAGTTCAATATCATTGGATCCTACTAGTATATCAAAGGGCCAAAAAAAATGGGTGAAATTGTAACAACCCAACAAAAAGACCCTCTAATCCTTTCAGTTACTTTTAAGAAGGAGGGGGATTTGAGTGGAATTTCGATCCGTTAGTGGTAGGGTGGAGGGAGGGGTGCTATATTTGTTTCAGCTATGTTTGTATATTTTAGTTATGTTTGAAAGTCTTCTCGACTTCAGGTTGAAGATGGGATTGAATTTTTGCAATAATGACGCTCCGTAGTTTCCCATTTTAAGTATGATTGTGTTTTATGTCAATATCTAGTACTACGTTTACACATTCTTGTGTGATCTTCGTCATATTGTAATCTGACAACGAAGCTTTGAAGATCTAACTTAACCGATTGGTTTCCAAATAAGGATATAAACATAATCAATATTATTTACTTACAAGCGAGGAAATTTGAGGTGTTTTAGAATGCATTTCTTATTTTGCCCAAATAAGGGCTTGAAAATTAAACAAATTGTTTTTGATATATCCTTTAATGGTTTGTTTTATCCCAATTATCGGAATGACAGATCATTTTTCAAAAAAAAAAAAAAAAAAAGAAATTCTTCGAGTTGCTGGACTTAAACTTGTAACAGTTATACTGTTATCATATTTTCAACAGCTATAACTGCTTAAAGAAATCAAAATCGAAAACAAAAATTTGTAGCCTCGTGTTGGAGTATTCGAGCGTACCTTCATGATTAATGTTTAAAACATCAGTGTTTGTATCTTTTTGGAATTTTTTCAGTCTGAGAATATGCTGCTAAAATTAAACATTAACAGCTCATACAAGTACGTATATGTCTTTCATTTAATCACAACAAAAAGACATACATAACCTTCGATTTATTTTCATTTTTTCAATTGTTAAACACTGGGTAAATTTTGATGTTCTTACTAAAATTTCCTTGCATTAAACATGTTATGTACGTGTCATTTGTAAAACATGCATTGATATTCCCATTTGCAATTTTAAAGTGAAATATCAAAGAAATTACATAAAATTAAGATTTCAAAAAGTTTCACTTTATGTTTGTTGCACCCTAGGCATTTTTCCCGCCTTGTTCACCCATCATCTAAATTGAAAAATTTGAGAAAAGAAAAAAAATCCATCATAAATTAGAAAGAAAAAACACAAATTATAAGTATTATTTGACGAGACGTGTGAAAACTTTCAGATATTTTCTCCACTTTCAAACCGACTGATATAAAGTACATGTGCGTATATACGAGATACAGTTTAATTTAATTCAATTATCATTTTCAATATAAATAATCAACTGCAAATAATTAGAAAAATGTTGAATCGTACGCGTATTAATTATTATGACTTAAAATACGTTTGCGCAGTGCAATAAATGTCTATTCCCGTGGAGTCGACAGTGGTCAAGGCGCGATCAGCTAACACGCTTACAGATTACAGTGATATAATATGTTGACATGACCTAGTTCTTTTGAGCTGACCATATCACAACAAAGGAGAGAGAGGGTTAATGACCACTCGTAGTAAAATGACCGCTACAACTTGACTGGAAAAACGCAATGTGGAAGGAAATCAACGAACGAAAGTGGTGGCGTATGTGGCCCTACCTTGCGGTGGGGGACACTTTAGTGGGGGTGGTGGTTCTACCCAACTTTGTGGCCAGTTACTGGATGGGCACGTGGCTGATCTTTGACTTTTACCTCTTTCCCCAGGACATGCACAAGTCAGCCTGGATTTGCTATGGTGTCGGGAACATCTTAGTGCTGTGCTCCATCCTTTCCCAGGGGATTCTCAGGGCGTGGCTGATTCCCGAAGACGGAAAACGCACGTGGAAATTTGTACTGTGTGTACACATTTACAAGTACATTATGGCCTTTATCGGGGTCATGCAATGGCGTGGAATTGCCTATATTACCGTCCTATACACAGGAATGTCACTGGCTAGCGCTGTTTTAGGTTTGGTGGTTGCCACGATCCTCCTGGCCCTACTCAGAAATCACCTAGGCATCCTAACCCCTCCCCTCACCATGGCCTTAGACCCAGGTGTAGAGGAGTCCTTCATAATTCCGACCAAGTTTTCTTGTGAGGTAGGTTTCTGTTTTAGTGAAAGGACTGTTACGGAAGAAAAAATAAAAATTTTAGCATTCATCGGACTGAGAGAGAGGACAGTTCCCATTGGCAGCTTACTTTAGTCCTTCATGCCGCCAAAGACCTCCGATCGACCTACTGCCTATTTCTGTTTAGAATCCTCGATAGTTATAATGATTATAAGCCACTAAATGTATCCTGTGAGGATGAGATTCTAGAAACACATACTTTTTAACACGTTTAATGCAAAGGCAAATGCAAGGCAACTTTGCCTTGCACCAAAATTTTATTAATGTTACACTTTATGCAATATGAATCCAGACTTTGTTTTATATTTTCAGCCTGGACTGAGTTGGAAGTTCCTCTTGGACGCACTTTTCACCGTTTTTGTGATCACAACTTTTGCTGGGTTTGCCCTCAAAGGATACTGGGTACTTTTGGAGATGGCCATGCCAGTAAATGAAGACGACCCCATCGAACTGTTGGATACAGGTTTTGTTTCGTTATTGATATTCTACGGATTAGTTACCATCCCTATCATAGGCCAATACGAACTTATGAAATTGAACAAAAAAGTCGAAGAAAAACATCCGTGTCTGGTAGCTACATTGGAGGAACTTTTCATTGCCATTCTTGCTATTCTTCCTATGTTGTTTTGGCGTGCTGTGTATTTAATTCATTTAAGCTTTTTGACGCCTGAGTATTACACGTTATACCTATGGATTTCCCATGTTGTGGGATTTTTAGGCGTGTGCGTCATGCGGGCGTCATCAAGCATGATCCCACTGGGATGCGTCTCAGATAAGGAGGCGTTCCAGAGTGAGTTTGGGATTTTTGATTATCGTTATTTTAGATTTTTTCTGGATAAGAGGAGAACGGTACGCCAACAAGAGAAAGAGGATAAACTTGACTTTACTGAAATTAATACTGAACAAACGATTAGTGATCACCAATTAAAGCCTTATTTCACATAGCAACGGACCTGGCGTATTAAAAATGAATGGGCAGCTTAAACTCTTTGATTTGTTCCACCATCAGCATAAGTCTATATGACTTAACTTTGTTTGAATAATACCGGTATGGAATCTTAATGACATGACATAGTTCCATTACCATGATTACAGGCCATACTATACACATGGTAAAGTTAATTACGAATGTTACCTTAATTACTTACAGTTCTTAAAATAAAAACAATGAACATAAGAATGATGAATTGCCTTTTTAATTCTGGATTTTGAGCGGTCATTGAATACAATAATAGCTCCCAGTGGTGTTTACACAATGTTGACATGGCTTCGATAAACATTCGTCCAGATCTGCAGAGAAAAAAGTATTTTTCAAGGAACATAAAGAATATAGAATAGGTATTGCATGTAGACAGTGATGGTTTGCAGAACTTAACATAAAAAAGTACGAATTTTCATAATTACCCAGTTGACAAATGATTCCATAATAGCCAGGAGGGCATCTGCATCTGTTGCTATGACAACGACCACCATTAATACAAGGTGGATTACAGGTGGTACCTAAGCGATATTGTAAATCTCATTTCTAACTGATAAGAAAAGGCTAGGCAAGGAAAAGAAATAAACTATTATTTCTACACTTAGTGCGTAATGTTTTGAATTTTTACTTTGACAAGTTCTCTTATCCTTCCGCAGTCGACTTCCGGGAGGACAGGTACAGAAATAAGACCCGTATGTATTACGACATCGGTGTTCACAGGGGTTCGGATACTTGGCACATTCATTTATATCTGCAGTTAATAAAAGATTTAAGTCAGTTCAAATCCACATAAACAAGAACTCCAACAGAAAACAATGTTGAAGGTCAAAACAAAACAATAAAGCATAAATTATGTACCGACTCCATCCTTAATAGTTAATATTGGACATAAACATGTTTCAGAGCTAGATTAAATGCTGATACATGTACTTATACATAGTTATATTTTTTAACCATCAATGGTTAAAATAATGGCTTAGCATCGCCTCATCCTGGCTTACCTTCTTGACAATAGGTGCCCGAGACGCCACCTGGACACCAACATTTCCCATTTCTGCATACTCCACCATTGAGGCAACCAGGAATGCATTGTTCCTCTGTAAATCAATATCAAAGTTTATTTCCGGAACGTACATGTATATGTACATTCAATTTTAAACATGTATGACCAAGATTTGAAAAATGTTGTCAAGACCGTACGTCATCATTTTTTGAATACACAAGAAATTATAGTTGTAACACCAAGAAATACACTAATACACTAAAAATAGCTGACCAATGCACGTTGTTCTGTCTGGACTTAGGGTGAATCCACTTGGACAGGCACAGTGGAAGCTTCCAAAGGTGTTCCGACAGGAAAACTGACAAAGATTGGAGGATGTGGCACATTCATCTATATCTGTAATGATTTAAGGAATCCCGTTATGCTTAAAATTATCCCATGTTTCCCACTATTGTTGATGCCCTGGCATACTCTCCTAACTAGACAGTGATTCCTTATATTTTCATTTCATTGTGAAATAAAATGGTAGATTTAGACTTTAAAAATGTAGACATAGACTTAAATTACACGAGGACTTCCATGCCAATTTCAATAGTCCTCGCCCAATGACGTCAAACACCTAGGCAGCCGCACGAGATTTACATGCACATTTTGCCTCCTTAGCGTCAGACATAGAGACAGATGCGCACGAGATTTGCATGCATTTTAGGCCTCCCAAGGTCCTGACCTATCGACCTGCCTAAATTTACATTCTGGCAGAATTATCAAGAAGTAAACTCCGACAACTTTCAAAGAGTTATCGCAGAGAAAAAATTAGAAATGGAAATATTTAGTTGTCAATAGTCTGAATGCTGATAATGCAGGTGACATTGCACTTAGACCAAATCTAACCATGATTCATTTGCACTGTATGGGGAAAATTATTTTACCGACCATCATGACAAACTGGTCCAGAAAGTCCCGGAGGGCAAACGCATTGGCCACCTTCACAGGAGCCCCCGTTAGCACATTCTGGCAAACACTCCATTTCACGAACAGTTTGTATATCTAAACATCCTTGACCCGGTCCAGGAACCAAGCCTTCCTCACATTTCGAATCTGAACAGTCACCTGTACATAATAAATACTAGTATTACACTATTTTAACGATTGCTTTAAAAATTGAAAAACACTTTTTAGTCATACATGGTTCATTTATCAGCATCATACCACCTACCGGAACATGGTCGAACACTCTCTTCAGACTCTGAAACATTATAAGAGATCTTATAAAGTTTTCAGTATTTACAATATGCAAATAACACTTGTATTGCATTGAAAATACTACGGAAAAATTGTTCCTTTACCTGTTCCTATAGCTCTACACACTACCTCCCCAGACGAAGCTGTCATAACCTCGTAGCCAGGTCCACAGAGCTCCACATTATCCTCCACACTCACGCACCTGCTGTTTCCCCTATCCACTTTTAAAACCTCTCCTGGTCCACACACACTACTGTGATTTGGTATTTCTGTATGAGCATCTTGGCTGCATACGTAACCATGCGCAGTCCGAGTCAGAACCAAACCATACTCACAAATCAGATTAGTTTGTTCTTCGGAAACACATTCGATGATACTTGTTTTACCCTGGACCACCACTTGTTCGGAATCACAGACGATGCTTTCAATGTCAAGCTTTGTGGGACGACAAATAAATTTGTCTACAACAACAGTAAGGATTTCCCCCTCTGGACATCGTGTTCTTCGGACATACTCTTCCGTCGACTGTTTGCGTCGGTACTGACACTGGACGCCATTTGTTGTCCTAACCAGACTCTGACCCGGAGGACATGATACTTCGTCCGGGGATATCAATGCAGGGTCTTTACACGTGGTACCTCCTACCAACACTTGGCCAGGAGGACATGAAATGTCAGGTTTATTTGATTTTGACACGAACCAACATTCATCTCCTTCTTCTGTAGACACCAAGGTCTGTCCAGGAGCGCAGTTTCTTCTCGTTTCCTGCTTCTGAGGTGCTGGGATACTTTTTAAATCATATTGGCAAATTGTACCCATTGCAGTTTTTATTGGAATAAAACCATCAGGACAAGGGTTTGGTCGACACTCTACTCCATGATCTGTGTGTACCTCCTTTTCCATAGGAGAACACCTCGGTTTTGCTTCGGCATTTGGCGAAATGCAATAATAATCTTTCCCTAATTTTACCAGCTCCTGTCCATCTGTACAACTCGGACGTCTTGATTTTGCCCGGATGCACACCGGGCCAGTTTGTAAATGGACCAGGCGTTCGCCCGGTTCACACAGAGGTATGCCTTGATGTCTGTTTCCATCACTACTTTTTTCACACACAACGCCGATAGTCGTCTGTGTTGGGATTTCACCTTCTGGACAAATGGCGACCATGATTTTGGATGGAGAGTTTACACACTTTCTTATACCTTTTTGTTCACTTAATGTTTGACCAGGCCCACATTCACTACGACAAATCTCACCCTCTAGTGTTTTAATTAAAACTTCACCATTTTGACATCTTTGCTGCTCTCTCTTTTCGGTATATTTTCGAAATATAAGTGAATGCTGGTTATTTTGAAAAGGAGTATTGCCTGGTCTCGTCAGATTTCCTTTCTTTACTTTCTGATTCCCACGATTGAGAAGTCTGTGAGATATTTTCGGTTTGTGTTGAAGATTTTCGTTTGAAAGCTTTATTGGTTTCTTATTCACCTTCAATATCTTTGATGAGCGAACGCAAACTGTCACATCGTCTGTGACAACTGAATGAAAGCTAGGTGGACACGAATCTGGGGTCGGGATCTCTGCTGAGCCAGATTTAAATTTTCGACACATATCCCCTCGGCATCCTTCTGTTTCTAAAGGCAAACTCTCTGATAATTTCATAGGAGCTTTCTGTACTGGTGGATTAGTCGTGAACGTTACACCAGATTCTGTTGATTTTATATTGAAAGATTACAATCTTTAAATAATTAGTGCAGTCTTTCTTAAAATAAATATATTTTAATTGTAGAACAAGTCCTGGTAAAGATTTTATTTTAATTGTAGAACAAGACTTGGTAAAGGTTTACACCTCTTATAAATAATAAGAATAATATAATTTTAAAAATAAAATTTGTAGCCTCATTTTTTTCGTCCAAAAAAGGGCGGGAGTCTATACATACTTGTCAAGTATATATTATTTTTTTCATAACTGATTTGTAATCTACAGTGATTAATATAAATGTTGGTATACTAGCTACTTAAATAAAATTTAAGTTACCTCCCAGGATATTCCTGACAGGTTTACAGGATTGTCCGTCTGTCTGTAATGTGTATCCAGTATGACAGAAACATTGAGGTTCGTTGTTTATTACCAGACAGTCATGATCACATCCATGTGATGGGGGACACGTAATGGGGGAACTACCAACATTCCTGTGAAATAATCTTCATGGTGAAAAAAATTGGAGATTTAAGTTAGAGAGAAAAATATATGTAAGCAAACAATGATACTTACAAATTCAATGAATCAGCCAAATGAATCATTAGCGAGAATAATAAATTGTTTATCAACAAACTGCATGTCATGGTTGATGTTAAGTTTCTCTAGGTTATCATCCTTTATCTTTTTGTGTATAAAAAAGCCAAGTTTCCCTGTTGATGATAAGGCGAAACACATGTGTTTTCTTAATGAACCATGTCTTCAACTGTTTCTAATAAACTACAAAAAGTACATTTTACTTGATGTCGATTTTTAAAGTATATAAGGAGGGATGCCACGCCAAAATTTTAATTATCCAAGAGATCTTTTAAACTATGGTTTCAGCATTGAAAACCGATGTTGGCTCTTTATTATTTATACGATTTTTTTTTGGTGGGGGGGGGGCATTTTTTTTAAGAGAATATGAAAAAAGTTTTATTTTTAGATAAAATGCTTTATGGTTTTTTTTTAAAAATCTAATAAGATATGTTGATAGATATTTTTTAAATAAAAAATTATGAAGGTACAAATTTAAGAAAATTATATCGCTAGAGGCGCGGATCCAGAATTTTTTCCGGGAGGGGAGTCCACCCCAGTCCAAAACAAAAATCCAACCCAGGAATTTCTTGACAAGCAAAAAAAAAAAAAAAAACTAAACTCGCCCAAACGTTAAAAACCTATTTCGTGGGGAGGGGAGGGGGGGGTAGACTTCTAATGCTTCAAACGTATGACTTTTCATACCAATTTAACACAAATTCGCGTTTAGTTTAAACCATATTTTATTTGAACATGACAAGCAAGAAATACAGGCAAGAAGTACAAAGATCAAAAAGGATTCGGAAACAAGTTTCAAAAACTTATACTAATCCGTTTCCTAATTATTAATGATAAAGATGACAGACCCTTATTAGATAGTTACATAACACGGTTTTGAGCTGTATTACAACAATATTTGAGATTGACATACATATTGAATATGAAATCATGTTAAATTACACAAATGAAACACGTTCTAATTATACGGAAGGAATCTTAAAGATGTACAATATGTATGTGAAGAAAAAAAACAAAACAAACAAAAGAAAGTGGTTGACATAAAGTAGAAGATAATTAAAGAATAACTACAGGTGCAGTTACAAATATAAATACTATTTTGGGAAATATAACAATAAAAGATTGGGGATATAATGAAAAAGAAAAAAATGAACGACGCTTGCTACATGCAGTTGAGAGGTAAAATTAGGGAAGGACTATTATTGCATTTCGCGTTTCCCAGGGAGGGGGTGTCTGCGTTTCCCAAGGGGGGTCCAATGTAGTTTTTTTTCTTGCTTTAGTCTATAAGTTTAATAACCTTAAAAATTCCAGGGGGGTCTTGACCCCCCCCCCCCCCCTCTAGATCCGCGCATGCGCTAAAAATGAAGAAATTAAAGCCGGATTTTTTTCCTTCCTTCTCTGGTTTTGCATTTAGCACGCGACAAGCTTTTCCTGTGGCATGATATTCACAAGTTTTTGGATTAAACTAACTAAAACATTCATTAATTGATGAAATTCGAAGTTTTGCATCTCTAACAACTGTAAAATTAAGAAAAGGTACTCAAGATTAAGAGCTAAATTATATAGACAGTATTTACAGGAAAATGACTTGATTTTTTTCTGATTGATTGTAATCCCTCCGTTTCCAAGTTCAAAACAGACCTAAATATTGAATTAGGTCTGTGTTCAAAATTGATGTAACACCGATGACACAGAAATACCTGTCATCAAAAAAAGTCAATCTATGATGTAACTAAAAACTACCACATTTTAATTTTTATAGAATAATTTACAACAAAACCAGAAGAATTAAACAGGTCCAGTACAATCACTAGATTCAGCTATTTAGGTAGATTTACCTTGTAGCTTGATTTACCTACCTCAGGTAGCTTTATTTAGCTATTTCAATGCAACTTTTCAAAATTTTTCTTTTTATTTAAAAGAGAAAAAAAATCGCAAGTATATGACTATTAATGTTTATACTAGTGAGGTTTTAAAAAACAATCCAAAGCAGGGATAGTTTATACATTTACTGCATTTGGACAATTTAGAGCAAAACATGTAATTCCATTGTTTGGGTAAATGTCCCCTCTCTTGCGTGCGGTGATCGAGGCATCACTGAGTATGATTACTTTTTATTGTGCTGAATAATTACTAATCTATTATTAAGTTAACCAGAACTGGACTTCTTTGTCATTTCATTCAAGGAGTAACTGTTTTAACTGTCATACATAGCCCCAAAACTTCCAGAACTTTCATTGCGCAGAAAAAGACATTTCTTCAAGAGGGATTTTTTCATGAATTGTTTTCCGATGAGTAGGTAAGTTAAAAATGATCACTGCATCAAAATGAGATTTTCTGCACATCCTGAGAAAAATGCTTTTTTATAGAAATAAATTGATTTGGTAGCTAAATAAAGCTACCTCAGGTACGTAAATAAAGCTAGTAGGTAAATCAAGCTAAATAGCTAAATAAAAGACCTGAGAAATACCACAAACAATGATAAAACAAAAAATAACCACAATTTTTGATGAATTCAACTAAAAATTTACCACGCGCTAAAAGATTAGAAGGAGATTAGACATTTTACGTGTACCTCATCCTGTCTGGAATAATATTATTTAACTTTAGACAAATTTACTTGTGTCATACTTAAAATAAAGAACATGTACTAAAGTTTTCATTTAACGATATTAAAATATTTTGTTATTTACACACATGTATAATTATTTAAAGAGACTGGCCATGATGTTATTTGATAATACTGCCTTTATATAATAATTTCTTACAGAGGAATGCAATGTAGAGAGTAAATGTTGATGAGTGAAGAAATGAAGGCCGTACAGATTAAAGTAAAACATATCATCAGATTAGTTATTATACTGGTCATAGCTATCATCATTATCCTGTATGGTTTACCATTATTTCATCACCCTAAATACAGACAGATGACTCAACTTGAAATAGGTAAGAAATGTTTATTGTGCTCATTATACGTACAGTCTGCTGTGTGCATATATCAAAACTTACAATGATAAGTATTATATTTATATGTACATGTAATAATGCAATGTGTTTTATTGAAATATTCTCTTTTCCTCTCAACTTTTTTGGAATGTAAAAGAGGAAAATCACTTTCATTAATTCAAAAGAAATAAAGGATAATAATAATTGTTTAAAATTCAAAGAATGTTCCTTTTTGCACTTCTTTTTGATACAAGTTGAATGTAAATTTTAAAGGGACATAAATTGAACAGAACAGATTACCGTAAAATCACATATTTTCATGGGATCAAACTTCGAGGTTTGAGGAAAAAATAATGTTTTGTGGAGATTTGATTTTGTTGTAAGAGAATGTATATAAGTATTAATGCATATGAAATTTGAAATTCCGTGATGGTCGTAAATTCATGGGTTTCTCCATGCCTTGAAAATAATGAAAATTAACCCCACCCCCATGAAATTAGTGATTTCACAGTATTTCAGCTTTATTTATAATCATTATTCTTTCTATATCACATACATGCATATACAAATATAGTTGAATTTATTTCTAAAACTAGCAATTGAAATTTTCTCATTTGGAGGTTTTAATTTATGTTTATCATTTTATTGCTTTACTTCTATCTGCAGAATCTATATACAAAAAGGTGAAGAATGAAGAAGGAAAGATGTACCAGAGTGAAGGGAGTCTGAAATTCAAGAAAAGGAAATTCTACTTAGATGGAAAGCCCTTCAGGATTTTCAGTGGAGCCTTCCATTACTTCAGGGTTCTTCCCCAGTACTGGAACGAGACATTCATGAAGATGAAAGCTTGTGGACTAAATACTGTAGAAACGTTAGTCATTGTTACTCCTTTCTTGTAGAAAGTGATACATCTGTAGTTCTATAGAATGAAAAATCATTGAAATCTTGAGACATGGAATCAATTATTTTGTTATTATACCCCAGCTCCAAAGGAGAGGGGGTGTACTGTTTTACCATGGTGTGTATGTGTGTCTGTCCATAAAAAAATATTTGTTGCAGTTTTCTCAGCATCTACTCATTTTATTCTTTAGGCTTTTATCATGTATAGTAGGTCATATCCTGGGATTCATTTTTGTATGAATTCAATGTCAACATGAAAAGGTGTATTCATATCAGAGCCAGAGTTTTACATGTGAGCATTTGCTCACAGACTTCTAGTTTATTATTATTTTTTAAATCTATTTAAAACTTTATTTCATAATTCTGTGTATTTTACACAGGTATGTTGCATGGAATGTTCATGAAGAAGTCAGTGGTCAGTTTAATTTTGTAGGAAATCATGGACTTCTAAATGTGAGGTAAGTACCTGTACCAACTTGTACTGTGTCTTTGGTATAACCCAATCTCTGATGATGCTGTAAAGAAATCCTGGCTTATAATTGGTTGAAGACTGGAGTACATGTTGTGTATATGTTGTATAATATAGCAAGGAGAAACAATTCTACAAACCACTGCAGTTTTGTAGTAAATCGTTACAGAAAGATACATAGTGATAAATTTTGTACATGGATCATTATAAATGTATTTCATTTTATCCGCAAACTTCACTGAATGTTTTAAAGCCACAGGGTGTGAAAATCACTTTATCAAAGCCATGATAACCATCAATTCATTATTAGCAGCATGTTCTACAGTAAGTTTTTCTTTTTTTAGGGAGTTTATTCAGACAGCTAAGGCCCATGGATTGTTTGTAATTTTACGCCCCGGTCCATATATTTGCTCAGAGTGGGAATTTGGTGGTCTTCCTAGGTAACCTTCAGTTCAGTTTCACTGAAATAAATACCTATTAAATTCAGTAATTACAGTAACTATAATTATAATACTTATATATCACAAGTAAAATTCGATTTAATGAATATAATATTGACAATGATAGTTTTTTCCTCTTTCATGAATTTAAGCTGGCTGTTGAATGATGATGAAATGAAGGTACGGTCTAATTATGAAGGCTACCTCAAAGCTGTGGACAGATATTTTGCACATCTTCTAACACAAATCCAGGATCTACAGGTAGAAAATAGAACCTCTAAATTGATGCCCAAAAATATCAATTATTTTTATGTAAAGTTAAAAGGAATTATATGCAAGTAAGGTGACTTAGATCAGAAGCTGTAAGCATGGTATGGTTCTAATGTACTTAATCCTTGGTATCTCATACATTAATATTTTTCTCAGTTATACATTTGGACTCATCCCATTTGAATTTCCTTTCAGTATGGTAAAGGAGGTCCTATTATTGCATTCCAAATTGAGAATGAGTTTGCATCCTACAGTACAGAAGTAGACCATTTAAAGACCTTAAAGAAGGTTAGTTTCTTCAAATCTTGAATTCATGAATTAATTTACACATCAAATGTTAATTTGCTCTGAAGCACATTGATTCTTTATACATGCATGTATATATGTACATGTATAATACCGGTATGATTAATTGATATAGGAAAAGAATTCCTCCAAATATTTGAGAAATAAATGTCCATTGATTCATTTCACATGAATTTTATAGATGATGAAGAAACATGGAGTGGTGGAGGTGTTCTTTACCTCTGACTCTGAGATATCTAGTTGGAAAAATGGACTGCATTCCATTGTTTATGGTAGGTTATTGTATAATATTCCCAGTTCTAATTTTTTTTCTTGTGATTTTTATTTCTTGATAATTCTGCCGGAATGTAAATTAGGCAGGTCGATAGGTCGGGAGCTAAGGAGGCCTAATACGCATGCAATTCTCGTGCGCATCTGTCTCTGTGTCTGACGCTAAGGAGGCCAAATATGCATGTAAATCTCGTGCGGCTGCCTTTGTTTGACGTCGGTTGGCGAGGACTATTGAAATTGGCATGGAAGTCATCATTGATTTAAATTTATTCATCTACATTTTTAAAGTCTAAATCTACAATTTTATTTCACAATGTATAATTGATTCCTTAAATTGTTTTTTCTTAATTTCTTCCAGAAAATTTTGTTACATATTTATTTTTCATGCAATTTTAGTTTTGCTGCCTTCATCATTTGACAGAACTGTGGAATAAGTCTGAACAAACACACATTTTTTTGCATGTCATGGTTACTTTGGTACATGTTGATGGAAATTTAACATTTTGCATGTAATGTATTTAAAAAAAAACTGCCCTGTAGTTAAACTGTTGGACAATTATAAGTCTTGTAGAAGAATCCTGTATTTCTTTTTAGAGGCTCTGCCCACGGTGAATTTTAAGGAACTGAATGCTGGAGGACAACAGCTGATGGATTTTGTCCGTGGTCTCAGTGAAGAGTTCCCCCTCTTTGTCATGGAGTACTGGTCAGGGTGGTTTGATGAATGGGGAAGGCCCCACAGCAGAGATTTAGATACAGAGAGTGAGTATAATGTCTTCATTTACAAACTCATGTAAGCATTTTCTTAGATATAGAAATAATTATCCAGAAATGTACATTTCACTTCAAAATTCAGCAGTAATTTGATGTTAATAATTTTTTAATAACCATCAAAGCAAATTTAGACAAGCTCATTTTTGAGAATATTTGCAACTTGTATGCATATCATTTCAGGACTGAAGGAAATTTTAACAAAGTTGTTAGAGGAGGGGGCATCAATTAATTTTTACATGTTCAGAGGGGGCACAAACTTTGGATTTATGAATGGAGGAAATTATCTACATAAACAGTACAGTCCAGTAACTACAAGTTATGGTAAGATTTTTTTTTAAATTCCCCTGCCTCCCTAAGGTCACCAAGTTAAAGGTCAATTGTCAAATCAGGACAAATATATTGACTGCTTATAGTTACTAGAGAACTCTTTAGCTGACAGACATCAAACTTTGAATTACTCAGTATGTTTGCCTCAACAAATAGGTTTGTATCTATTTTCTCACTATAATTACAGAAATTCAGAATTAAGTTGACCCTTTTAATATTGTCAAACAGTGATCATATATGTTTCTCAAACATCTATTGTTTACTTGTTGTTTGGTTTAATAAAAAGAAGAAACTATACATGTATGAATGTGTCTGCTGGTTATTAGCAGGTTTAATGTTGCAGAGATGTTTTTGTTACATTTGTCAAGTATAAGCCAGTAACAATCTGTGACCTTTAACCTTTGCTGTAGATTACATGGCTCCATTATCCGAGGCAGGAGACATGACAGAGAAGTACCGCATCATCCGAGAACTTTTACTTCAGTACCAGGACGACGTCCGTCATTTCCACGGAGCAACACTGAAAGAAATTCCACCAGACACTGAAAAAACTGCTTATGGAACAGTGCCAATCAAACAGTATCTGCCTTTTGAGAAAATGGTGGATGAAATGAAAGTATGGTCATTAAATGTTGTACATATAGAAAGAGCATATTCAAAAGAACAAAATATTTCTTTGATCTCATATTTGAAGTATCTGGCATAAAGCAATATGCATTTATTGAGAAAACTTTTTCAGCAGATGGTAATAGAATCCAAGAATATTGATTCCATGGAGCATCTCACTTTACATCATGGAGGGGGGCAGAACTATGGCTTTATACTGTACAGGAAAATCTTGCCAAAGATCAGAAAATTAGAAATAAAAGGTTTAATGCAGGACCGTATGCAGGTCAGTAGACACTGGTTTTAATTTTGTGAAACATGTAGATAGATAAACTATTTATATAAAATAAAATTCAACTTGGTTGATAATCTAAGTCATAGCAGGAATTTTATATGTAAATCAATTACTACATATCTGTTCATCATAAATCATTTATATTGTATTCATACCAAATACTGTATAGGGGGAAAATAACTCGCGGTGTTAATATTCGCTATATTCACGGTGTTAACAAATCCGTGAATTCAAGAAACAGAAAATAAATTTTCAATAATCTCCATGTTTTATTTGGAAATTTGAGAATAGACTACATAAGATTTATATAGGTGTACGTGCAGTCATTTCAGTAATTGCGAGTAGAACTGTCATTCAATTAATTTTAATTATCACGCTTTACTTTAATTCAAATCGGCAGATGATAATTTGTGTTTGTTCAAAAGCTGTTTTAATAGCCAACGCTACATGTTTCATCAAACAAAACACGTGGGCCATGGGTTTTGATTACCTGTGCGTAACTAATGTCACCACGTGTATTTGTTACCTGCATTCTCATGCATATTAGTTTATGTAGTTTAATTTTATCGACATTTTGGTTTTAAAAGTCTTTCAAATATCGAACTTACTGACGAAGGAAGTGTGGAAGGATATTATTTCGTAGAACTACATAAAAAGTTTTATTTCCGTCCAGTGGTTTTTCGCCGCATTGTATTGAAGATCTCGGGTGCACATGCACTCATAGTAATAGCATATAGGAAAGTCATCTAACTTTTAGGGACTATTAATAACTGCACTTATGTTAATTGATTATTTATGAAATCTAACTATTTTATAATAACTTACCCTGTTGTTCGTAAAATAAAGACATAACTCTGATTAATGTCGTTTACATGTAGCTCTGGTATGGATTAAATGGAAACAAGGGAAGTAACTTTTATTACATACCAAATTCCGCGAATTCAAGAAACCGCGATTGTGTCAGATGAGAGAAAAACGTGAAAATTACAACCCGTTAAATTAATCCCCTATACAGTAGTTAATGTACATGTACTTAGGCATTTTTTTAATGCTTTATTTTGAAGCTTTTTTCCATATGTATATATACAAACTTAGGCAATATTTTATTCATTATAACAAGGTATTTTGGAATGGTAAAGAGGTGGCTACATATGACTGGAATGAGAATGTTTATGTTATACACATGGACTTAGTGGGGCCTGTAAGAATGGATGAGGTAACCATCATGTATTCTTATGTACCATTGTTGTTGTTGAATTGGAGATGTCTTGCATGACTGCGATTTTGATCATTTTAAGATTGTAGTATTATATACAGATCTAACAATTTTGTTTTTCAAAGTTTTTTAGCTTTTGTATTATTTTTTAGGCAGTAAAATGCTTAAAAAAGGAACATGTGTACTTATAAAGTATACATGTAAATGAAAAAAAAAATCATTAGAATCTTTCATACCATAAAATCAGATTTGGATATCATATGTATCTTTTGTTTGAATGATTTTTGTTTTTATTTAGAAACATAACACACTGGACTTGTTAGTGGAAAATCTTGGAAGAGTTAATTATGTTAAATTTGGTAAAGATACTCTCAATCAAGAATACAAAGGTACTGTCTTAATGATTATCATTAATATTACCTAATTCATTTTGTTGAATTGCAAAAAACATATTCTGGGTACAAAACAAGAATACAAGTTTAAGTCAATCCAAATTTCACTGATTTTTTTTAATGTCATATGGTTTGTATTTTATGTTAAGACAGCAATTTTTTGCTGTATACATGTACATTAGGTTTTTAATAATTAAGTATTCTCTCATTACAGGTATAATTGGAGAAGTTTTTGTAAATAATTCCAAAGAAGCCCTAACTGGCTGGAAGATTTATCCAATGGACTTCAGACCTCAGTATCTAAACAAGTAAGGCTGCTATTTTCACTTCAACAGAATGCCTAATGCTATTCAGCAGGCAAACTGCCTGTATGTTAAAAATAGAGAAATCACTAAAATCTTACAATCATCGAACGGTCCAAAGTTTTGGTTTTTGGAGGACCAGATTTGATCTAATACCCATATCGTGATATGACTGTTTGTTTAAAAAAGGTAATTTTTGTTAGAGTGTATTTGGTATACATACATGTAAATATCTGTCATTGCTAATTTTTTTTGTTGATCTGGTTTACAGTATCTGGCTAAATAGTGGATACAAACCCCTCGTTAAGAGAGAAGTATCACCGGCCATCTTTTCTGCAGAGTTTGACATACAGGGTACACCTAAAGACACATTCCTGTCTATGAATGTAAGTCATTGACATACAGTGTATACCTAAAGACACATTCCTATCTATGGATGTAAGTTATTGACCTACAGTGTATAACTAAAGACACATTCCTATCTATGGATGTAAGTTATTGACTTACAGTGTATAACTAAAGACACATTCCTGTCTATGAATGTAAGTCATTGACATACAGTGTATACCTAAAGACACATTCCTATCTATGGATGTAAGTTATTGACCTACAGTGTATAACTAAAGACACATTCCTATCTATGGATGTAAGTTATTGACCTACAGTGTATAACTAAAGACACATTCCTGTCAATGGATGTAAGTTATTGACATACAGTGTATACTTAAAGACACATTCCTGTCTATAGATGTAAGTTATTTACATACAGGGTACACCTAAAGACACATTCCTATCTATGGATGTAAGTTATTGACATTAGGGTACACCTAAAAGAAACGTTCCTTTCCATAGATATAAATTTTCTCTTGAGGGAATAAGTTGTTGTCATTATAAATATATAGCAAAATAAGAATGGTATTGCTGTTTGTCTGTTGTAGAAGATAAATATGGAATTTTCTGAAATGAATTATTGTATTAGAAGAACACATTGCTTTTGAGATGTTTTTTATACGCCCGTCTTAAGACGGGACGTATTATGTTATAGGCTTCATGTCCGTCTGTCTGTCCGTCTGTTAGCTTTTCTCGTGTCCGGCTCATAACTTGAATACTATAAGGCCTAGAGTTATCAAACTTTGTCAGCTGATACATCTTGGGTAGAAGGTGTGTCGCGCACAAAAAGTAGGTCGCTCTGACCTATAATTAAAAAGTTATAGCCAAATATGGAAAAATCCTGTCCGGTCCATAACTAGAAAACTATTAGACTTAGAATCATCAAACTTGGCCACTTCATGCATCTTAGATAGAGGGTGTGTCGCGACCTATTTCAAGGTCACTGTGACCTTTAATTTAAGTGAAATAAAAAAAAAATGTCTTTTTTTCTCTTCATTTACACACTCCAAAAAATGTAAAAGTATTGCACTTTCCTTATTAGAAAAATATTAAATCAAGAAAATACTTATTTTTTTTAGCATATACTTGACAGCAATCTATAACAAATGTAATGTATGTTAAAGAAATTCCACCACTCCCATGAGTTTAATTATCAAGCACTGGTCAAGAAGAATTTTGATAACAGAAAATTGCATGTCAAATTAGAGAGAGAAATTAATGAGTTTAGTGTGAGGAAGAGCATCGGTGCTATCTATATCCCTTGAGTATTGGGCCAAATGGGTAATCCTGTTGGATTAAAAATAGCTCTTGTTGGCTAGCATAAGTTTTAAAATGAATTTGATGAGAAGTAAATAAAACTAATTTGATTTTGCATAATAAACTATTTTGATATTACATAATATTATGAACTTTAAAAAACTAATTTTATGGGGGTGGGGTGGAATCAGCATGTCCATATGAATTGCATATTAAAACCTGTCTGCCATTAAATCTAACAAAAAAATCATTGAGGTTTTATATGTTTTAAAAATGCTTTATGGTAGATAGTGCAGATCCAATAATCTCTTTGGAGTAATGAGTAGACAAGCATCCAGATTAAGATTAATTAATTTGTTCAATGTAGCAAGGCTATAGCTGTCTCAATCATTTCTTCAGAGCATTATCTTAACTGACAGTGTATCCTTTGGGAATTAGACAGAAGAACTGTTGGTCATTTTATATTTGATGGCCAGCCTTTTATTTTCAAAATTAATTAGGTATAGATTAAGTTGTTAAGACTAATTTGATATTGTTTAATATGATAGGCATTTAGGAAGGTCTAACACAACCAGTATAGAAATCTATGAATGATGCAATATATGTTATAATTAATGCCTACACCACAGGAGATGGATAAACAAATTTTTTAAGGAGTTGAAAAATCATGGAAATCTAAAATCAAGGTTGACATGATTTTCTTGCACTTTTAATTGTTTAAGATAATTGTAATTTTTTGACGGGCGTATCATGCTGTGGCGTGGCACTTTATTAATTCATAAAAACAGTTGTTAGCCAATTTGTTACATGTATTGAAATTAATTAGTTCTATAAAAGCAACATATATTTCCAGTCCTTGGTGTCTTTTTGTTAAACATAATTTTATTTGTGTATTTGTTTTGTTTTTCAGGGTTGGTCTAAGGGAGTGGTGTTTATTAACCATTTTAATCTGGGTCGTTACTGGAATCAGGGGCCCCAGAGAACACTCTATGTTCCAGGGAGTATTCTAAAGAACAACAAAGCCAACACAGTAAGTAAACTCACCGTAACATGGATTTTTATTATCCTTTAACAGTTTATTGCTGTTCTGTCAATTGATGGTTCAAAAATAAACTATATTTAATGCATATGAATTTTTATGTGTTGTAGATAAGAATATTTGAACAAAAGAAAGCAGGAAAAGAAGTATTTTTTGTGGATTCTCCTGATCTGGGAGGCTAAGTGTAGTGTTGTTCACGTCTGAAAAGTGAAACTGTTCAAATAAACAGTTATATGGTGCATTCCCTGTTACATGTATAAAGAAAATGTTCATGTTAATTACTTAGTTCTTTAAACTTTTGATTGACAACTTTGTAATTATTATTAAGGCTGGTGATTAATGAAAAGAAAATTAACTAAATTTACTGGTATATATCTAAACTAAATGTATAAACAGAATTTTCTTCCTCTCCCAATCTTTATTCTAGATATGTTCACAACATGTGTTGCTATTACTATGCTATACATATCTTGAAATATGCATATTCTGTGATATTTACACACTTGTCTTTGTGTGGATGTTTATAAAACATGCACCTGTAATGTTTTGTTTTCAAAGTTAAGCATTATTTAAAGCCTTTTTTAAAATCTTGATTGTGGATTTCACTTCACATATTGCAAAAGCTATCTGCTTCCATGCCCATAAATAGGCAGTTGATTAACCTATTAATTGTGAAGATGGATTTTATTTGTTGAAGAGCATTGTATTGGTGCTATGTTCTGCTTTGTAAGATACATGTATATTCCTGGTAATAATTTTTTTCAATATTTTTTTTTAAAGTTATAAATTTGAATTTTAATTAAAAACATATACATGAATGTAATATATTTTGATATATGGTTTATTTATATTCTTTGAATCTAAAAATGTTTTTTTAATCTGTAGAATTTATAGCTTGATATAGATACCTGAATAGATGTATGTCACTTTGAAAATTTTGTTTAGATAGCTTCATTTTCATTGGATGAGCACGGGCCGTAATGATGCACAAGAGTGAATGTAGATTGAGTGAAATTTACATGAGGAATCTAAATGTGTCAAACACAATGTTTCATTTAATTTAACTTTTAAATAGTTTCTGTTTTCTTTGTTTGTATATAAATATTAAACCACTTTATCCATGGTTTATGAATTTTTTCTTAATCATTATACAAGTCCTTTCTCCCTTGTTATATTCATAGCACTTGGCCCCACCCTACCCACAGGGGCCTTAACTTTTTTTTTACAATATAGAATATACACTACATCAGGATGCTTTCACATAAGATTCAGCTTTTCTGGTCCAGCATTTTTTGAGAAGATTTTTAAAGAATGTTCCTGTATACATGTATTTTAATATAAGACATGTTTTTCCTATTATGGCCCGGATTGGCCCCACACTTCCCCCAGGTATCATGATTTGAACAATTTAGAATCTACCCCAGAATGCTTTCACATAATATATGTTTCAGCTTTTCTGACCCAGAGAAGATTGAAAAGAAGATTTTGAAACATTTTCCCATATATTTCAATGTAAAACTTGAATTCCTTACTGTGGCTCCACTCTACCCTGGGGACTATGATTTTAAAAATTTAGAATCTACACCACCCTAGATTATTTTCACACAAGTTTCAGCTTTTCTGACCCAGTGGTTCTTGAGAAGATTTTTTTAATGGCACGGTACACCTTAATTTTGTCATCTCTCGATTATCTCCCCTGGTAAGGGAGCTTGGTCCTTTATTTCAAAATTTTACACTTTCCTCCACCCAAGGATGCGTTGTACCAGGTTTGGTTTAAATTAGCCCAGTGGTTCTTGAAAAGTTCAAAATTTGAAAAGTTTAAAGACGGGCGGATGGAAAAAGGGTGATCAGAAAAGGTCACTTGAGCTTTCAGCTCAGGTGAGCTAAAAATATTTTTTTTTTAAATGCACTTATCTTTATCTTTTTTTGATTTCAACATGGATGTTGCAGGCACATAGCAACCCCCCCCCTCTTTTTTTCCCAACATAACTTTTACTATTGAAATTTTACTTGAAAGGCTGGTCCCCCCACTTTTTACTACAGTAAAGTGATATAAGGGAAATGTAGTATTGTATACCCAAAAAATTGGTACGGAAAGAATTTGTAGTGAATAAATTGGCTCCCCCCTCCCCCCCCCCCCTCCTCACGAAATAGGATTTTCGAATTTGGCCGGGGTTTTTTTGTTTGCTTGTCAACTTTTTCAGGTAAGTAAAAAAAAATATCTCTGGCTGCACCCCCCCCCCTTTCAAAAACGATGCTACGTCACTGTGTTGTCCTTGTTACTATAAAAAGCGTATTATAGTCTCAAAGGGAAATGAAACTCGGGATTTTTAGGTCACCTGAGTAACTCAGGTGACCTGTGGCTATCTGTTTTCGTCCGTCGTCGTCCGTACCTGAGTAACTCAGGTGACCTGTGGCTATCTGTTTTCGTCCGTCGTCGTCCGTCGTGCGTCGTGTGTCTTGTTTTAACATTTGAACATTTTCAGCTTCTTCTCTGAAACCACTGAACCAATTTCAACCAAATTTGGTATACAGCATCTATGGGTAAAAGGGAACAAAAATTGTGAATTTCATGGTCCCTGCCCCCTGGGGCCTGATGGGTGGGGCCAAAACTAAAATTAGTGCAATCTTTTACAATCTTTTTCTTTACTCCTGGACATCAAGCAGGCAAACTATTGGCATGAATGTAATGAGCATTGAGTCCGCTACCAAAATTGTGAAATTCATGGCCCCAGGGTCAGGGGTTCTAGTTCTAGGGCGGGGCTATATATATTATAATTATAGTGAAAATGCATTATTTCTTTGAAAATCTTCTTCTCTGCTCCTGGGTATTAAATAAACTATGTACATAGTTATAATGAGCAAGAGTGCCTCTTCCAGATTTGTGAATTTTATGGCCCCAGGGTCAGGGGTTCTGGTGTTAGGGCGGGGCTCTATTGATTATATAGTGAAAATGCATTTATTCTTTGAAAATCTTCCTCTCTGCTTCTGAGTATTAAATAAACTAACTAAGCACATTGTTATGATAAGCAAGAGTGCCTTTTCCAAAATTGTGAATTTTATGGCCCCAGGGTCAGGGGTTCTGGTGTTAGGGCGGGGCTGTATTGAATATATAGTGAAAATGCATTAATTCTTTGAAAATCTCCTTCTCTGCTTCTGGGTATTAAATAAACTAACTAAGTAGATAGTTATGATGAGCAAGAGTGCCTCTTCCAAAATTGTGAATTTTATGGCCCCAGGGTCAGGGGTTCTGGTGTTAGGGCGGGGCTCTATTGATTATATAGTGAAAATGCATTATTTCTTTGAAAATCTTCTTCTCTGCTTCTGGGTATTAAAAGTACATAGTTATGATGAGCAAGAGTGCTTCCTATAAAATTGTGGAATTTTATGGCCCCAGGGTCAGGGGTTCTGGTGTTAGGGCGGGGCTCTATTAATTATATAGTGAAAATGCATTTATTCTTTGAAAATCTTCTTATCTGCTTCTGGGTATTAAATAAACTAACTAAGCACATCGTTAAAATGAGCAAGAATGCCTATTCTAAAATTGTGAATTTTATGGCCCCAGGGTCAGGGGTTCTGGTGTTAGGGCGGGGCTCTATTGATTATATAGTAAAAATACATTAATTCTTTGAAAATATTTTCCTTTGCTTCTGGGTTTTATGCCAATGATACAAGTATATATATTCATGATGAAGAAAGGTGCATCTAGCAAAGTGGGTTTTTTATGCCCCCTGGGTCGGGGGGGGGGGGTCACATAGTCTGAAAATAAATTAATGCTTTGACATCTGCTCTTTGGTATTAATCAACCATTTTATGATAAAATTTGCAAAATGTTGAAATATGTGGCCCCTGGGTCAGTGGTTCCTTTGGGGTGAGGTGCACAACTGGGTATAAAGTGGAAGTGCACTTTCTCTTTGTTACTCTGATTTACCTCTGGGTATTAAGTAAATAGAGTAAGCATGCTATGTTAATAATTATGATAAGCAATGGTGCCTCTTTCAAAATTGTGAATTGTAAATTTCATGGCCTCTGGTTTAAAACACGAACCAAATTTAATTGTTTAATTGAAAGTTGTTACACGATACTCAGGTGACCTATAAGGCCCGTGGGCCTCTTGTTATTGTTAGTGTATGAATCCATTACCACTAAAAACCACATTATTTTTTTAAATAACAGAATAATTTTTGCAGAGAAAAGTTTTGTTTATCATAATTTCACAAATCTCAGGGAAACTTTTAAAAATATAAATACTAAGTTCACAAACTGAATATGATTTTTCTTCATGTAAATGTATTATGCACGCCTTATTTACCCATTTGATCAAAGGCAATTTCCAAGTTACTCATTAAATAGAATACTTTGTTGATTTCTTTCAAACTGCCAGGTACTCCCCTCAAAGTTTGAATTGCAAATTTTACATATTAAACTAATTGTTTCTTCATTCATAAATTCATCGAATGGGAGGGAAAATCAACGACCAGAAAGATTCTTAGCTAGAAGAAATTGCTTTTTTCAAAACCTGTAACTGTAAACATCCGAGTTATAAAACTCTTAAGAGATCAAAACGCCGATACAGAAACTTAAGACAAAACAATCCATTAAATTTACTTTTGATGGTTGGGTCATAAATATTCTATGTCTACGCAGAGATTGTTTTCGTCGACCAAACTGTTGATGGTGACAATGTCCATATATTTTATGTCGATCCCCTACGTAGCAAGGGTTGAGTACACTGATACTATAATGGATTGATTTATCTGTCATCTGCAATGTCTTTATTTGGATGAAAGGACTCGGTCTTGCATTTGTAAAGTATCGCAGATATTTTACATACTTGTTATGGGGCAAGTGTCTCCATATTAGAATAAATGACAGGTGGAATTCTTCAAATAACTTTTACTGCATGTAGTGCGCTTCAATATATTTGAAAAATTTAGAGAAAGAGAGGGAAAAAGAGAGATATTTCAATAAATGGTTTTAGAGGTTAATGAATTCACAAGAATAAACGCTAACAATAGACACTAATAAATTAGGAAGAAAAAAAGATGTTGTCACGAACGAAATTGCTCATCTTTGTAATAAACCGAGTGCAAAGTTTAACGTACATTCTACAATACACCAAGAGAACGATTATCTATCGATTTTTCTCCGTATTCTGCACTTTATCTTGATTTACACCTATTAAACGTGGAAAAATTGGCTATCTTATTAATAATCCATGTTATAATGGAGAAATCATGACGCCCAGAAATAAAAAGACAATCTTCCAAGTCAGTGAGTGCCATCTTTCCTCAAGAACAGTACATGTACTGGAATAATTACTATACTTGTCACTGTACAAATGTTTAAACATTTTTATTTTAATTTTGCGTATCATTGACAATATGATTACGTTGAAGTATTGAGTTTGAGACAAAAAAAAATATCTCTTGATTAAACTATATATCATGTATTGTATGTATCGATTAACGAGCACAAACTACATGTGGCCTTTTTTTTTTTTTAGACAATATGAACGTCCTAAATTTTTATTCTATCGACATCAAAATATATTTCTACACTGTTTTGATCCTGAAATGTCAACAGATTTTAATTTCATGTCGCATTAGATCTTAACATTAATTATCAAAATTGCATTAGCTTCATTTTAGACGGAGCAGGTACTTTTGTGCGTCATTAATTTTTTGTAGCAATTGAAATATAGGCCCATAAGCAATTAAGAATATTAAATAAAGGACTTCATGTTACAAGTACTTTGAATTTAATCCATTTAAGTTTAAAACTGAAGTAGTACTGTAGAACACTGTACAAGTCTTCACACAAGACATGAATGGCACATAGGCCATTAGCCCATAACTCTTGCTGAAAAATATACAAACATATATATTTGGTTAATGAAAAAATTAATGACATAAATCCAGTGCATCCCATGGCAGTACGACTTACATATCTAAAAAGACATACTCTTTAATCAGTCAACAGAATTAAATTACAGGTATATGAATACTGAACAGTTACGTCTTCATTAATTTTCTTGTTTTATGAAAATTCCATTTATTGAGTCTAATTTCAAATCGTCACAACCTCCAATAAAGTGAAGCACTGATATTCTATCAAATGATGTGACAGGGAAATTTTCTCAAAGGTACGATAAATATATGTGCATAGCTACATGTATAAAAAGAAATCTCTGTCGTGCACAGGATTTAGCATAAACCATTTACAAGCCCAGTAGCTTAGAGCACCATAAAGGGAATCCTGTTTTATTGCACATTGTCCTTCAGTAAGGTCCTAACTTCTGGTTTTTTGCTGATGTATTTCCCTGTATATCTAAGAGAATAGTAATCATCCAATCGAATGTCACCAAATATTCGTTTCATACCGACATAATTCCGGAAATCTCTTTCTTTTGGTGGTTTCCCCCTCTCGTTCTTATTTGTCACATCAAAATAAGAAAACTTGTAAGGTTCCGTGACGAGGGAATCGGGCAAGGTTTTTCGGAAATACTTTGACCGAGCGTCCTGTAACGCCCGGATGTAAGCGTCTCTGTGGATGGCCGGATTAATGATTCCGTCCGTAACAACAAAATCGTGATGGTCTTCTGCTTCTTTTTTCTTGTTTTTCTTACTTTGTTTGCTCTTGGTGACTTTCTTCTTGCATGTGTGTCGGCGATCAGTGCCATTGTCTTTGAGTATTGGAGTTTCGTTCCCATTTAGTGGTGGAGTTACAACGGGTGGGAGTTTCTCATACTCCAAATTTACATCGTCTTTTGTTTTGCTAAGCTTATTTTCCTTTGTTGCATCTTGAACAGTCTGTGATGATTGATGATTCTCAGGTGACGTCATAGTCTGAATACTGTGGAAACAAGCAGAATCTGGCAATGATCTGCTTTTTGGTATCTTACATTGACGAGCAAAAGTCTCCGTCAGAGAATGAATTTGCGCTTGCATACCCAGTAGAGCTGGACTTCCGGCAATTATTTTCTTAGGCGAACAGCTTCTTCGGGATTCGGGGTCGTTGGCATCGAACACGACATCCACTGAATCCATCGCCAACTCATGGTAAAGTTGAGTCATTGTCTGTTGTCGTTCTTTACTCAAGAGATCCACATCGCAAGGTACCCCATGAGTATAACGCATGCGCACACCTGTATTTTCAACTAAACTGTGCTCACATGGAGAATCCGGGTCTGGCAATGAAACAGCTAACGTTCGAGTCCCAGCACTGCGGTTGCGGCTGTTAATTTGAACGAACTGACTGACGGCTGACTTTACGGTAGGGAAAGTGATTCTCCGATCACTCAAGGAGGTGTCTATATTTTTTAGTCTCATTGTTGCCGATTTCGGCCTCTGCCTGAGAAAATCCATTGGAACTATTTCTGTATGCTCACGAGGCTCTTGGTTAGGAAGCATTTCTATATCTTTCTGTGTATTCAGTCTTTTCTATAGTCTCATCTGGGCAAACATAGAATATTTCATCTTGTCTACAAAAAAAAAAAAAATAAATAAATAAATAAAGATATCGAATACACGTGACCAATTTGATCTGCAATTCTTTTTTTGAATTTCATTTGTTGGATGTTCTTGAATTAAATTGACGGCAATAAAATTTTATTAAAGAAAAAAAACCTAGTTGGAGTACTAGTCATCTCTTTTCTTGATACAACACAAGCGAATTTATGTAAATTCGAAGAGTTTTGACTTTGATTAAATACATTGATTAACTTAAAAAAACGCTTATGTTGTGCCTCTTGTTTCCAGAGAGAATACTACAACTCAGAAAAATGTACCATTTTAACAGAACCTAAATATAAATCACTAAACGCAAGGGTTTCTTAATTATTGCAATCTTTGATTTTGGTCCAAGTGTCGCTCTCTCCTTTATGTGTTCTCCGATAAACAAACATAATTTCTTTTGTTTAATTATACTTGCACATATGTGAATCATATTTACTTTTGGAAGACTTCAAATTACACAAGGAATCTCCATTACGACTTAGAAAAGGACAAAATAGAGTTTTAGTAACTTCATGCAGATGAGATGTTTCAATCGAAGAACTTTTTATGTGGTTAAGCGTTTAGAGCTTTTCATATTGAGAATTTTTTTAATTTTTGCGTTGATTGAAAAAAAAAAACATATTGAAAAACTCCTTAAAGATAAACATTTAAGAAAAATAAATCGGCTTGGTTTCCTTCATATCAATATTAAATTTCATTAATGTATCAAACGGTAAGTTATTCCTTGGCGGAAGTTAAGAACGGTTTGTCATAATAATAAATTTATAAGTAAATCCAATACCTACTATATTGTGTAGCATATAAATATCTGCAAATCCTTCGTAAAGCATGCAAGACTATCAAGACCATAAAAATAACAATCTTACAGACCACTTCTTGTAAATATAAATCTACAAAAACTTCATGATTGATTTGTAAAACAGATTCCAATGGTTGCTTGGCAAACATATCAGATGTTTCGAATTTCTTATGGAATATTTTATCAGTATACTTTATTAAATATATGCCGTAAACACCTGCTTGAATTTTTGTCAACTTTTAGGATTTAGGTCCTCGCTCCGATTTCCGCAAAACCCTTTTCACTAGATTAAAGTAAATATTAAATTATCCCTAAAAGTGTACAGTGTTTGTCTTTGAATTAGAGCATTCTACAACTGACAGATTACATTCTATTGAAAGGTTTACCAAAAGATGTGCAAACACTCCACAAAGAGACCTATTTGTTATTCTTTAAATTACCTTAATTCAGAATTTCAATAAACTCTCTCCGCATGTAGCAGTTTTTTTCTTTACTCCATTTATAAGAATTACTGAATAACAATACAAATTCCACGTTTACTCAGACAGGTCGGCCGCCTTAATCCTGGGCATCATTAAGGTTTCGTCAAAGATCAACATGTCTAAAAAATTATTTTTACAATAGCTCCAAAACTTTGTGTGGTATAGCGTCAAAACGTTTACAGTTTATTAATATATCATTGATCAATAGATAGAAAGTATCACTTGATAACAAATATTTTAATAAAGATATTTTTTGTGAAAAATTGCATCAGAAAATGTGCATATTTAAAAAAAATGCACGTGCTTAATTCTGTCCTTTTTGTGAAAACCATCATTGCAGAAATAATATATGTTTATCATTGAAGGGCAAGTTGGACGTGAATGGTCTCTGAAAGGCTGTAATTCAAAGCATGGCATGTATAAAGACAAGGCCCCTATAGAATCCGCCATTTACAATGTACTTTCACTTTCAAGTCCTAACATTTGGACAAATTAAACAGGGAAAACAACTTTCCAGAGGCTATCCAAGTCCAACTTGCCCTTCATTGATAAACATATTTTGTTTTTGCAATGATGGTTTTCACTAAAAGCACGGAATTAATTAGGTGTATTTTTTGAAAATATATGCATTTTTAAGAAGAATTTTTCTCAATTAATATTTTTTCCAAGTATTATTTTTATCAAGTGATACTTTCTATCTGTTAATCAATGAAAAATTTATCAACTGTAAAAGTTTCAACATTATAAATCACATGGTTTTGGAGCTATTGTTAAAATAAATTTTTGGACATGTTAACCTTTGATGAAACCTTAATGGGACACCTTCTATCAAACTCCTCACCGGATAGAAAATTTATACCGAGTTCGGAAAAGGATAAAATTCCTAATCCCGAAAACCAACCGAGAGACAGGCCAGATGATCGGTGTGCATTTGAAGTCCTTTTGAAGTGGGGGGCTCAATAAAAACTGCACGGAGACTATGTATTATGAATGACAAACAACTACATCGTAAATCAGACACTGCCCCTTCGTGCACTTTTCTGGATGACAGGTAACGTATATCCGTGTAATGGAAACTGGGACACAGCTTTCGCCGTAGATTCTAACAATGCGGCTGCATGGCAACATTGGTTTATTTTCTACACAAATTAATTTTCTGATTTCTTGACCAACCAAGTGAAGTGGTGTTTTCAATTATACACCCCATATCCAAATAGGCCTAGATTACATTTATACATTTAAATTCCAAATACGAAGCGTATAAAAATCAAGCTCTTTAAGTGTTATTTTAGATACATTTTTTATTCATATTCAATGGACAATCTAAATATTTCCTAAAATCAATTTCTTTTCTTAACTAACTGGGAAAAGATGCCATTAAACTTACCTAGAAAAATGTATTCTTGTTCTTCAAGTTTCCATACGAAATTAAGTTCCACATATTTTCTGTTCTTGTATTCCTTTTTAACATATATCCAAAAATGTTAATGCTGCCGATTTTCCATCAAATTCAGACATGGGTCATGTATGACAATAAGCTGGATGAACAAGAATATCCGATTTTAAAGACAGATCGACAGACCGGTCCCTATACCCTCCGTGTTATCCTCTTACTCTGATTTACTAGCCATATTACCTTCCATCGTTGTATCATAACAATAAAACTATCTCTTTACCCCTATAAAAGTCAAACTTCTCCATTAGCTATCGATTTAGCAGACTATGTTGTCTACTTGTGGAGACATTGACATTAAACCATACATCATTCTAGACAACATATGCATTAAATACCCGCTTTTGTTTTTTTTTTACTTCAATTTTCACGAGTAATCAAGCAAAACAGAATCTTTTTCTACCCGTTCTTCAAGGTAGAGGCTGGTACATGATACCAAAGAACTTGGGCGATTAAATCGGATAATGGTCCACAACATCCGTTGTAGGAGAGGATGAATCCGCTGGTCTGGTTTACTTTAATTACCGACCATTTCCCTTGTTAGTATTTTTATCTGGGAAACTAATACACTTCGTATCGATGGGGTATGGTCCCTCTGAAGATTAATAATATCGGTGTACTTCAGGTTTCAATTGGTCCTTGAAATCTAATTGATAAATGATATGCTCTAAATAATTAAAATACTACAAAGTAATTAATTTGTCAAGGTTTTGGTCAAAGGAGTACGTTTCCGCCTATTAATAAAACACAACCTTTACGTAAGTGTTCAGTACCTTTGATTGTTTGCCCTTTAAGACGGGAAACTGGTTCTTAATAAAAGAGAAAAATTAAAGAACAAAAAACATAGACTTATCGGATTGTTGAATGATGCAAGGTTCAGGTGTGTTCAGGCAATCTTCAAACAACGCACGGTCTAGTCCATGCATTAATAATAGTTTGGAAACATACTCAGTGTTGAATTGAGAAGTAATTCTTGGCTCTTATTTCTTGCTTTTATGAAAACTTCTTTGTACAGCACGAATAATCATGTAAACAGTTTCCCTACAGTGTAACGGAAATCAATTGTACATATCTGCGGTTTACCTGAAATTGTGTTTTCCTTTTCAATTATTCAATTATGAAATCAAAAGAAATGTCTTTAAAGAATCAATTAAGATTTTTCAATTGCTTATGAATAAAACAAACTTTTGAAAATGTTTTGGTTTCTCCGGCGGTGCAGCAAGCTTTCTCTTTTTGTGAAAACTACGGGAAAATTAAGGTCTTTGCATGCCAGTGAGATTGTAAATGCAATCCTTGGTATGGGGCACTATGATTTTAGCTCACCTGAGCCGAAGGCTCAGGTGAGCTTTTCTGATCAAAATTTGTCCGTTGTCTGTCGTTGTCAACTTCGTCGTCGTTGTTGTCGTTAACTTTTCACATTTTCGACTTCTTCTCAAGAACTACTGGGCCAATTTCAACCAAACTTGGCACAAAGTATCCTTAGGTAAAGGGGATTGTATTCCTTATTCAAGGGAAAATAATTCAGAAATAATGAAAATTTGATGGTATGTTTTAAAAATCTTCTTCTCAAGAACCACTGTGTCAGGAAAGATGAAACTTATAGGGAAGCAACCTCAGGTAGTGTAGATTCAAGTTTACACAAAACATGACCCCTGGGGGTAGGGCGGGGCCACAATGGCCGATCAAAGTTTTACATAGACACATATAGGAAGATTCTTTAAAAATCTTCTTCTCAAGAATAGCAAAGGCATGAATGATCATAATTATATTGAAGCATCCTCAGTTAGTGTAGATTCAGGTTTGTTCAAATCTGGACCCCTGGGGGTAGGGCATGGAATCCAATTTTTACCTAGAAACATGTAGAAAAAATCTTTAAAATTCTTCTTTTCAAGAATAACAAAGCCATGATTAGTCCTGTTCATTTGGAAGCATTAACAGGTGGTGTAAGTTCAATTTTGTTTCAGACATGACCCCTGGGGGTAGGACTGGGTCACGATGTAAGTTCAAATGTAAAGGGCAATAAAGCCACAGAGAGTCAAAGAAATATGCAAGCATCCTTAGTTAGTGTAGATTCAAGTTTGTTCAAATCATACCCTCTCCCTCTTAAGGATTGGTTTGGACCACTGTTGGGTTTAAATTTTCAATAATAAACTGATTTCTGTTTTGTTCCTAGCCACATTGCTCAGGTGAGCGATGTGGCCCATGGGCCTCTCGTTTTAATTTCCTTTTGAGAATTGTTCACTCATATTTATATTTTCAATTCCACTTGCCGACGATGAGCTGCAGATTTAGGCCTGTCAGTGTACTCGGTCCTTCCGGCATTTGAGTTTGGAGGGATCGTTTTTGTGCCAGCACCTACTAAAACAAGGGACCTCGGTTTCTACAGTCTAATCCGAAGGACCGATCTCCACGTTTCGCATTTGGATTCGAACTTGCGGCGTAAATATCAACTCCTTACTCCATGACTCTAGACTTAGCGCTGTAACCACTGTAAATTATTCCAAAATATGGCCATTGAAGGTCGCTTTGCTTAAGGTTTAGTGATCGTATGCCTCATAGTGTTCAAAATACACCAAAGTTTAAGATTTCAGAATAGCAATCAGATTTAAAAAAGACTGCCAGCACACACCCCCCCCCCCTCCCGACCCCACTGCTGCAACGTGCCTGTACATTAAATGCATGTGCAATTTAAACAATTGAGAAAACACAGTTACAAAATTCCAGAAGGTTAAAATGATCTACTTTCGGTTTGTCACATAATGTGCATCAACTGATCTAGTCAATAGTCATCATGAGAAAAAAATATCCACGTTTCCAGTTTTTATATTAGGTTGATTTTAATTAAATTGACCATGAGACCTCGCTCTTTGTCTAATCTTAGTTTGATGTCTTCATAGATCTATGAAAGTTAAAGTTGCAATGTATACTCATCATTATAGAATATCAGCAGTCTCATTTTAATTCATCATTTCGTAAGTTCTATGGGCGATACAATGACCTTGTCAGCAAATATAATTTATCATGATTGAGTCAAATGCTGACTGACGTTTTTCATACTACATGTAATTATTAATACACTGAATTGACGACGGATTTTTCCGTTTTTTTTTTATCATGACAAAGAGCACAAGGCAAGAGTGACCGGTAGACTGGGGATGCTCACTCCTCCATGGCACCCGATCCCACCTCTGATGTTTTGGAGGTCCGTGTTTGCTCTGCTCCTATTTTGTATAGTTTTATGGACTTTTGATTTTGAATACTGTTCGTTATCTCCATATGTTTCGTGTAAAAGATTGTTTAAAATCTGCCCATCAATTTTTTTCCATTATGCCCAGTTTCTTTTTTTTGGGGGGGGGGGGGGGGGTCTAGCCATTTTATTTATTTTCAAGCATCAGAAATCGTCCTCGTTTAATATTTTGTCAACGTTTGAATAATTAAATAAAAGTACTTGCCAGGCCAAAAACAAAATAATTTAGTGACAAATCCAATATTGAAGAAGAGGTTCTTGATTTGATCATCAAACCTATGTGTGTGCTACATATAATAATAAAGATGTCAGTCTGTATATAACAAATTTATTAACTGTAATACATTGTATGGAGAAATTTAAAAATGTTGTTCAAATAATAACAAAATTATTAAAAGACTATAAAAATAAAACAACGTAAAGGAAATTCCAATAACTTCAATAAATCATATATAAAATCTATACAATAAATTAGAGGTAATGAAAAAAAGATTGAGCAAAAATATACTTTTTCTATACATAAACATTGGCTGGATTGATAGCCAGACATAAAAATATCTATTCAGATATTTAATATCTAAATAAGAAATTGAAAAAGATCTGTTGAGATTATCACATAATATCCATATACTGGTAATTTATTGTTATAGACATACTAACAACAGGATCGCTGTTGTTTTTCGAAAAAGTTGAAGTCCATAAGAAAACTTGCACCCAGAAGAAGAATCTTATGTTGAACTTTTAATGGTTGGAGATCTAGAAGAACATAACACATTTAATTAAAGTAAAACTTTGTTATAACAATGTCACAGGGACCTATGAAATTACTTTGCTATATCCGTAATTTGTTTTATCTGTATAAGGAATTCGTTAAATTTATATAGCTGGGGATCAAAGATAACTTTGTTATATAAGTGAATTCACAATATCCGTATTCGTACAAAGCGAATTTTAAAGTATTATCTATAAACCTTTTTTTATAAACTTAGATTAAAGCTATACAATATCATGTTAATCAACAACTATTTTTCATAATTTGTCAGTTGACAGTTGACACTGAAGCTAAAACAAATTTTACTTCTTTTGGCAGATAGAAATTTTGCAAGTTTAAACTTTATTTTAACAATGTTCATGTATATTTTACATTTGTAACCACCCTATCAAGGCCTATAAACACATGTTTCATTCAATCAGTTAATTTATTAACACCAAAAACAATCATTTGCGATTGCATTAATTCAATAGTTTTTGACATAGTGTTTATCAATATGAATGTTGAAATATTGTAAAAATAACAAATTTTCTATAGTTAAAACGAAATGGTATAGTTTAAGAGATGGTAAATCTAGGTTTATCAACAAAATCTATTGTTAACGTTTTATTACATAAATATAACTTAGATATATCATTCGTAAAAATGTTAACAACCGTTAAATATAATATACAGATAAAATATACTAACAAGAAATCGTTAACTATACTTAACAAATACGTTAAATATAGTTTACAGTTTGTTAACTAAGTTTACATAAATATACAATTGTAAACATACTGACTTAAAAGAAATGGTAAAGTCAATATATAAATATACATGTAAATATACAACTATTTTTCATAATTTGTAAAGTTGAAGTGTTACATAAATATAAACAAATTTTACTTCTTTTAAAAGAAATTTTGTCAAGTTTCACATAAACATATTTGTAATATACCAACTTACAAGAATATGCAGTTAACTTTACAGGCTTACAAAAAATGGTAAAGTCAAGTGATATATTAATGTACTGACTTATAAGAGATGGTAAAGTCTATTCCTAAGTAATGTACAGACTTATAAGAGATGGTAAAGTCTATTCCTAAGTGGTACATAAATATACAAACTTATAAGAAATGGTAAAGTCAAGACAAGTGGTATTTAAATACACAGATTTGCAAGAGATGGTAAGGTATAGTTGTAAATTAATGTAAACTTACTTAAGGAGGCTCATTACACCACTTTTTGATGGTACATAAATATAAAAATAAATCCATGTGTCGACCGGTTTACAAGAAATGGTAAGTTAAGAGGTACATAAATATACTGACCTTTAAATACGCTTTAAAAAAATGAAACATGTCAAGTGGTACAGAAAATAAGTAAATATTCATTATGCATAAAAATGGAAGGATTGCTTTTAGGCATAAATATAAAGAAAATACAACAAATCTTACAAACAAGTAATGTCAATTACATAGCCATGCATACAGTGAACTCTATCAATCACTGACATGTATGTACAGGAAATGGTTAAAATCTACAACCTTGTTGAAATTAAAATTTTATTTAATTACTATTTACTGTGTTGGTGTTAATTTATATATTTGTTTTATTGATTTAAATGTATACTCTGGCAATTTAAAGCTTTATTCTGAATTTTAGATGTAATGTAAAGTCCATAGTGTTTTGAGTCTTGGCTAATTAGGAAAGATAACTCTTGAAAGTGGACTTTTTATACCAAATATTTTTTAAATGGATTTTTCATTTCGTTTAAATATTCTTCATTCAATTTGACACATGCAATTCATTGAAATACATTCATTGTCTCTTCATAACACATTTTTAAAATGTTTTATGCATAGATTAAAAAGATAATGACATTAATTGATTTTTAGGAGAAAATTACTTTTTCTAATCAAATTATTATTTGGTATTATGATATATTCAATGTGTACTGTCTTATAAGAAGATGTAAATCATATTGGCATTGAAAGTAATGAAATTCTTGAATAATAAATGAAATAAAACATTTCACTAAAATGGTACATAAATATAAAAATTTATAAAAAATATTTAAAGTCAAGACAATTGGATATTTGACATCTACATTATAAGTTGTGCTGTATTGAAATCTAAAATAAACTGTGGATGTAATGAGCCACCTTAAATGGTAAAGTTAAGTACTATGGTATATTAATATTAATATAACATACTTACAGTCAATGGTGAAGTCATTGTGAGTTCCACAGAAGTCTCCACAGTCACCCGCTGTAACCTTCCTGATTTCTGCCACCCTCTGTCCTCCCATGGCATCTGATATCTTAAACAATCAAACGGAAACATTACCCAATAAATACAAACACAAAACAACATCAATCTGGTAGACTAAAATGGTTTCTTAATAAACTTACTGTTATTACAATATCTGAACACAGCTTGCATAAACAACAGGAAAATTCTACTTTATAGACCACAGATTCAGTTTCATCTATAATTTTGTATGAAGGACAACAACAGCGACTGGAAAACAAAAAGTTATCAAGATCACACTGATAAAATAAAACATTTATAATTATTAATTAACATATTCAAAATAGATTTGAAAGAAGATATCTATATCAAATCTCAAAGAGCAGAAAGGAAAAGATGTATATTTATCAGAATGTGTTAAATTTTTTATATTAAATGCTTATGTTTTAATAATGAGGTGAAATTTATTTTCAGCCTTATGAGCCAAAATATAGCTGTACAATGCAAAATATCTTTTAAAATCAAACAGAATCCCCCTTACTCCTCCATGATGGCCCCAATCTCTTGACCGGGAGGACTTTCTATACTGAGTTCCTGTACACAGCAGCACCACCACCAACAAACTCCACAGGGGCACCTTAAGGGCCGCTGCAATCTGATCAGTTCTTGACCATCTTGATTGCTGAACTTCAGAACAAATCCTCTCATAGCCCCCAAACACTGACGAGCATAGCACTCAGAGACTGAATATAAGATAATAATTTTCTTTTTAAGGAAATGATCCACAAAAGGGTAATTTTTAGGCCTCATTATCATACTTTAATGTATAAATTATAGAATCTAATAAACAAAATATTGAAGAATTACTCAGAATTTCTTTGCATGGGTTTTTCCATGTTTTCAAAAACAATTGCTATACAATACCTTCTTGAGCATACAATATAGAATCTTCTTCTTTACCATATACACTGTATCGACTTGGTCTTTGAAAACACACTGAAAAAAACAATAATATTAAAGAGTGAAGGACTTGCTTGAATTTCAAATTTCTTATTTATCAAATAGAACTGTGGGCATATGTGCATTATATATACATGTCATGGCCAAATTAAGGGCCACTTCAACTATGTTTGAAAGACATATTAAGCTTCTTTGTAATTGTATTGTAATATAACAAGACTATTATTCACTCACTATCCCCTGCTTCCAAGTGTTGGTGGACAGTGATTGTGTCTAGGGACTCTAGATCCTTTAACCCCGGTGGTAACGCCTCATCATTTCCTGGCTGTAAAGTGATAGGCATCTCCTCCATTTGGTGAGGGTTGCATGGATCTTGTGAGTGTTCTATATTCTACACTTCAGAAATAGCTAGTCTGAAGATAACCTGCAATTAAAAAAACAACAATATTTTGGACTTGATCAGGCTTTGCTTTTGGTGTTTTGACAGGCTGTGTTATTACTATATGACCAGTTACTTAACAGGTCCAGCACAACACCCCGATAAAGGTATATAGCTTGATAAAGCTATATAGCTTTATCAAGGTATTTAAAATACCTTGATCAAGGTATTTTATGTAATGAAAATTCAAAAAAAATCTTTAAAAATTAAATACTGAAAGTCGAGTTCTGAGTTTTTGTCAATGTGTCTACTAGTGCATGAAAAACACTCTGGTATCAAAAAGAAAGCATAAAATAACGTCTCCTCACACGACACGTTTTTGTACTGATTTGTTTGTGTTTGAGTACTTTATATGCATGGGTGAATTTACTGACAACTCAGAACTCGACTTTCAGTAATTAATTTTTAAATAATTTTTTTGAATTTTCATTACATAAAATACCTTGATCAAGGTATTTTAAATACCTTGATAAAGCTATATAGCTTTATCAAGCTATATACCTTTATCGGGGTATTGTGCTGGACCTGCTTAAGCTGTTAAGGGGTGTCACTGACATACTTGCCAAGTAAATATTGCAAATTAACGATATTCATTTTTTTTATCCCTTCAGGGTAAAATATGCTAACGGTAGTTAAATTGTAGGAATGTGTGATATTTTAATACTTACCCTTGCCACGTATTTGTCTGTAGCAGCAACTTTGTAAGAAATATACTCAGATACTGAAATGTCAACAATTAAAATGAAAGTACCTGCTAGGATTACTTTCGTGTTTGAGGAACATCGAGCCCGAATATAAATTTAGGGTTGAAACAAAATTATCTTATAATATTTATTACAAAACGTACTGGGCAGAGGTTAATATTATATCTAATATGTTGGCTTTTATAATCAGGGTTTACTGTAGTGGGGGTGACCATTTGATTCTGAAGGACGGGCGTCCGGGTCACAAAAAAATTCGAGGACCGAAGGACAGATTTGTAGCTCACCCGAGCTAAATTAGGCTCTCGTGGCCTTTGGTTGCAATATTATATTTATTCATTCAACAATTATTTTACAATTGTGAGGTCGTTTAAATATTTTCACACTAATCGTCTACGAGTTCTTTCGTTTACGCGAACGGAGAACGTATAGCGATCTATATGAAGCTGATCAACGATCTAATTCAATTAGATTGGGAATGCTTATTCCTTCATGTCATCTGATCCATCTTCTGAGGTTTTTAGAGGTCTGTGTTTGCTCTGTTCCGAATAAGTATTATTCTTGCATGCACTAAATATTCAGACTTAATTTTCTTTTCTCCATATTTCAATCCAAGAATACATTTTTAAAAATGTTTCAATTCACGTCCACATTATTATCTGTTGTCGCCTGCGTGGCGCAGTGGTTAGGACATCTGGGCTCGTTTCTCAAAAAGTCGTAGATTTTGGCCTAAGTTAGTCTGACTAAAAAAGTTACGCCAAAAATTAGACGGGTCTAAATCGCGTTTCAGAAAGCGGTGTAAGACTTGTTGGCCTAAAAAGAACCTCTCCGCTAGGTACTAAGCAACGCAGACCGTATTTTATTTGGTTTAGAGACAAAACATGTGGCTCTCACAATTGAACTGATTACAAAAAGTGAAGCCAAAAAAGTTGAAAATTTTCCCTGGCTTTTCATTCTTTCAGTCAGATATAATATTGCAAATCCATCTGTATTTTTCAAGGTCAGAGCATATTACATACTAGAAAGTAGTTGAATTTATACCCGGGAAATCTTTTCAACAGCTTGATAATTTTTAGGGTTACACCTGATGAGTCACACACAAAAAATTGAGCAAATCTTTTGTTATTATTTTGGACACCCACCTCAAAGTTACATACACAAATTTTTTATTAAATAGTTATATGTATTTTGGTATCTCTTTATTAATAAATTTTAAAAGTTTTGAATTTTTTACTTTTAAAGAAAAAAAATAAACATACAGTATACCGTGTATATATGTACATTTTGAAAATTTGGAATAAAAAGAAATTTTCTTATGCAGTAAAAGCCATATATGGTAAGGGGGGGGAACAGACTCGTAGCAATATATTTGATAGCAAATGTTAACTGTAAACCTGGGGGGACCCCCAGTTCAAGTGATGTGTCGATAATGAAGTATTTTCTACTAGAAAATTTTAAATACGAAAAGAGAGTTAGAACCCCCCCCCCCCCCCACCTCCCACGAAATATAGGCATACTATGAAAAATTTAACAATTTTGAAATCATGTTATAATGATAGTGATTAAAAAAAACATGGATAAGAGCATTTTGCAAAAAATTATCAGTTGCTTAAATTTATAATATCTTTATTTATTCAATACGAATTAAACATATTGGCATTTAAAAAACACTGATACATGTATACCTACAGTGTATATTTATAATACTAGTATTGTATTTTGGACACATAGTATTACATTGATATCTATATAATAATTTACATGGTCCATTTAAAAGTACGTATATATAGCAATTTGTTTGTTATCAATGATGGCTTATCAAAAGCAAATTAGTTTTAAATCTATAATTCTTGTGAACATATTACCGACAAAAATCTAGAATTTTTTGAAAATTTCTCGATTTCAATTTTCCATTTCAATATTTTCAAATCTATTTAATAAATTGTACAAAGATTTAATAAACAAATTTTTCAAAGATTTAATATAACAAATTGTTCAAATTTTTTATTAAATTTTACAAACGATTTATTAAATCATACAAATGACATATAAAATTGTACAAACGATCTATTAAATTGTACAAACGATTTATTAAATCATAAAAACATGATTAATTTTTACAAAATTTATAATTATCGATTTATTAAATACAAACAATTTGTTAAATTTCAACCTTATAATATAAATCGTTAAAACGATTTTTTTAAAATCTACAAAAAAACCCTTTTACGTGCCTAAAATGTCATTAATATTTAAAACAATCGGTTGCTAGTCGCTAATTTTGTCATTCCTATTCGATAATTTTTAGCTTTTTTTAATCGATGATTAATTGGTTTATATGCAATAAAGTTGTTGTTGAAAACCTAATACCATCATTTATGAAAAAAAAAATACTTTAATTATAATCTGGAATTTTAACATAATTTTTTTTATGATCTTAAAATGTTGTTTTTTAATTATTTTTCAATAACATGATTGCAAGGGGGAAATATGACAAATTAAACTATAATTAGTTGTAAAGTCAATTACATAGGAATATAAAGTTTAACATTATTATCGAATATAAATCATTTTATATATAGTATTAAAACAAAATTTTAAAATATTGGAAATAAAACATTTTCTCTCTTCAAACTTACAAAAAAGATCAGCATAAATTAAGCTGTTGCTATTTAATATTAAATAAATGTGTTTCGTTTTATACATTGATGGAGTAAAAATAGAGGATTTAGTTATTCAGAATACAAATTTATTTAATTGATTATGTCTTGTATCAATTTTTGACAAAGAGAAATATGTCTTAATATAAAGTACATGTTGATAAATTATAAGACTTAAAGTCATTGATAACAGAAAACACATTACTGAACATTAAAAAGATATTAATACAAAATGTAGTAAAAAAAAATTTTTTTCAGAAATCAAGTCACCCAACTTGTATTTAAAATTCTTAATCACATCAAGTTTGAGCCAATCAGAGAGCTTAGAATTAAAGGTGATATCACCTTTTCTAATTTTCTATCACCTATTCGTATAAGGTGGTATCACCTATTCGAAAAGGTTATATTCATATAATTATGTACAGTCATTAATGAATAGGTATATATATCGTACTACACTGGAACCAAGAAAAATAATCATTCTTTTAACGATTTTTATGTTAAAACACATGATATATTGAAATAAATTAATTTGTACAGCAAAAAAAAAACTTACAGCTGTTCACGGGAAAAGGTGATATAAACCACAATTGAATAAGTGATATCACCTTTTTTTGTGATATCACAAATTCAAATCACTTAGGTGATATCACTGATTTGGAACAGATGATATCACTTATTCAAATGGGATAGGCCTTTTTGCAGTAAATACCAAAACGGGGCCTCATACCTATGAATAAAATCACAGTAGTGAAAACCCAATCTTAAAAATATGTGTTTTTATGCTGTTGAATTTTGAACCGGTTTCATGATCAAAATTAAACCGGTCTCAGTTTTCAACGGATTGTTGGCACGAAAAAGAACCCTCCCTGCTCAACGGCCTTAGTGCCGAGTATAGGACAAAACTTGTAGCTCTCTACCGGCAAGTGGTAGCGTCTCCAGATGAGTGAAAGATTCTCGAGAGGGACGTTAAACAACATACAATCAATGAATCAATATCACCTGTTAATAAATTATTTGAATATAAATATTTATATAAAAATAGACAGCCTGTCTGAATTTGTTCTATTCTGCTTCCATCATAATTATTATTCGTCGCTGGAAAAAAAAGTTATAAAAAATGAAGAAAACGAGCATTGGTCGATCACAATAAATGTTTTATAAATTAATAATAATGATTTGGAAGCATGGGGAAAACAGGCTTTCTGGGAATTCCGTAGGTGGGATCAAGTGCCTAGAGTAAGTGAACATCCCCTGTTAATTTATCATATCCATCGTAAGTCTTATATATTGATCAAGTAGTCTGTAAAGCCGAAGTCAATGGCCTCAACTGGTACCGTATGAAACATGCCAGTCCAACTTAAAGTCCTATGTTAGGTAGTATTTGCAAACAAGACCATTTGAATGACCACATGCTTTTCGAAATAAAACTTAAAACGAGGCTGTTGAAATCCCCATGACATCAACTTATAGACCAGTAGCCTGTCTCGGTTTAAAAAAAAAGAAAGATTGTATCGTATAATTTGAGAAGCATAAACACAGTAGAATATTTCTATAAATAAAAAGAAAGTTGACGATGGAAAAGCCGAAGTCATTGTTTTGTTATATAGTTTTGTTGGAAGTTGATCTTTTGTTGTCGGTAAAATATTCAAAAGTGTAACAATTGTCAGATATTATGCATGTTGTCTTTAATTTTTAATATCACAGCGATATAAGAGATAATTGAAAGATTTAGTAAACAATACAAGTATTGTTAGGGGGCCGAAAACCCTAGGTTTGAGATGACGATTGTGTTGATGCGCTAAAAAAAATATTTTTCATTTTTTAAGATGTAGTTTTATGATATTTTCTCTTTTTTTTAATTTCAGACCAATGATTTTAATTCTGGTTATTAGTTTCATCAAAGATATGATGTATGTATTTATTCAAAATAAAATTTTGCTTAGTATAGCATGGCCTGGCAGGTTAACATTATGGGTTATCTTTTTTCTTTTAATTCCTTATACAGTTTCTTTTCTTCGCCCCATGAATATAAATATACATAGGTATCAGAAAGTAAAATCAAATTTACAGAGATACTAGTTTAGTGATCGAATGCCTAAAGCTTAATGTTTGCCATTCTGTCTCCGCATTTAAACAGGCCTCCTGATGATCGAAAATCACAATTTGCTGTTTGGTTCCCTAGGCATATTATTCCAAATATCTGTTTTAAGTATCTTTCAAAAATGTATTTCTTTTCAAAAGATTTTATATTTCATTTCTATTTAACTTGATATAATGCACATGAAATTAGGCTGTTGTGTCATCATTCTTTTATTTCAAGGATGATACAGCCCTATAAAATTAGCCTAAGGCCTAATTTAAACTGTTTGTTTACTTTTTTACTGTGCAAGACGTTACCATTTTGGTCAATGAAATTATCCGTAATAGTGAAAAACTTTCATTACTTCCATAATAACAAATTAAGCTTTTAAAAGCACACATGATGTCCTCAACTTAAGGTCTCAACCCTTCAATTTTCAGAGGCCTTGAAATCGATGTCCACCAGTGGACGAGATTTTTTTTTTTTTGTTGTTGTTGTATTTAGGAGTTTTGGTTTATACCTATTAGGACCCTGAAAATTAACGAGTTTTGTCAAATTCTGCCGAAAGTATAATGCTTTATAAGAAATAGTTCCGCGTAACTGAAATAATAAAGATAAGCGATGATGGACGATTCAAACGGATTGCACAAAATTCACATGTAGATGAAAAATTTAATTATTCATATTATGCAAATAAACCTTAAGAAAAACGTTGACTTGTTGCATTATAACTGACGGTGCCCTACATGCAAGTGATAACAATTCACTTTTACATAAACAATACAGACAGTAGTTCACTGTTTAAAAAGAGGTGCGTCCTAAACACTGTTTACGGCCCACTACACAAGAACTCGGTTCACTTGACTCAACGATGTGCTTCACTGATAAAGGAAGTGCGCCTGTACCCTCCCTCTGACATGACTTCACGAAACTTAAAACAAACAACACGGAGGAAAACAGTAAGTGGAGTTTTGTTTTGTTTCGTTTTTTATAAAGGACAATATTGCACATCATATATACGAATTTACAATAAAACGTATAAATTATTTAGAAATCTAATTTGTTGGGAAAATTTATTTTATTATCAGTATTCAGATTCATTAGAAAAATTGTATGTAAAAATTAAATCACGTACAATTTTCTTAATACTATACGACTTTTGTCATTATTTCGTGCTGTCATCTTAAGGATGGTCTGTTTTTATGTTATATTTGTCTTGTTAGAAATATATCTTTCCAACTGACAAAAAAAAATACATAAATGTTGGTATGAGAAATGAACTAAACCCAAAATATTAGTACTCGAGTAACTAGTCTAACAATGTCATTTAAAGACAATTTGAAATCTCTCAGAAATCTGTTTAAAACGTCAAATGGAATCTTGATAAAGGGCCCATCTTGTATGTTATACGTGGATGATGAAGGTAATTACAGAGGGAAATTTCACGGTGTCTTACCCCCGGCCATTAGATAAAACCCGATAAAAGTTCAGAAGATTGAAAACAAAAACCAAAGCAAAAATCCTTCATTAACATTGACCTTTAAAATGATGTTGACTCATTAACAAAAGGATGTAAAATGGGTCACTGGAATAGCAATGTGGAACACTACGCTTGCATCAAGAATTTTATAAATGCATTTTAATTAAAGGAACTGCATGTTAAAATAAAAGAAAAAAAACCTCCGATTATTTTTCATATTTCACTATTTTAATCTTAATTGCAGATATGACTAAATATATGTATTGTACTTCACCTGAATGCTAAAAACATTTTGCAATACCTGAACTATTGACCATCAGTCACCTACTACCTTTGAGTACGAAGCAACTCAGGGAACTAGATTTCTGTACAAGTACAAGCAATTTTATTAAGTGACATTATGGTCTGGTGATTTTAATTTCATAATGTGTTTGTCTAATCAATTCAAACTGGACACTAAGTTCTAGTGATGTCTATTTCAGATGATGACCACCGGTCTGTGGATTCTTGTCCTCCTCTTGTCCGGTAAGATATTTTAAAGATTTTTATGTTTTTGGTTAATTTTAGGCAATGTGACCGTTTAACAACAATCCACTTTTCATATCTTAAGGTTATGTACTTTTAAACAAAGAGAAACCTCTTAAGTTTATGAATTGTAGATAGGAAGGGGATTTGGACTGTACTATATCCGTATTCTTCTTTATTTCCTACATGAATGGATGGTAAACTTATGTTTTACTTACTAGTATATCACTATACTAAGTGACCTGACCGGACATGAAAATGTTTTAGTGGTAGAGATCAATTTATGATTCACAGAGGCATCACTTGAAATTAATAACACAATGAACACCTACTCCTTTATTATACCCCCCGCTTGAAAAGCGGGAGGGTATATATAGTAATCGTTAATTCCGTCCGTCCGTCTGTACGTCTGTCCGTCCGTCCGTCTGTTACGCTTTAGGGTACCTATCTCTTATCCGCAACTCCTCTTATACCACTGAGTGAAATTTAATGAAACTTTCACAGAATCTTTATTACATATTGCCATTGTGCACCTTCTATTTTACTTTTTGATCTGACACATATTTTGGGTTTCCCGGCCATGGCAAATCATGGACTTTGTCATCAGTTATAACCATATGGGAGGCGGGGGGTATCATTTAGTGAGCTCATTGCTCACAGTACCTCTAGTTTTCAATGCAACTAAGACGGGTTCAATCTAAACTAAATCAGGCAAGTAGAGTGCGTGGCAATTCCATGTACTGTTCTTTCAATATCAAATTAAAAATTTTGGAAATCCCTAGTATTTGATGATATTTGTTGCCTTGGCAAACTGTTCTTTCGTTATAGCACAACTATGTAAAAATATGGAATTCTTATGACGCATCGTGCATTGCTACCTTTTAAACACAGGAAGTGAAAACGAACGGTATTCAAGATCAAAAATCCATTAAACAATAAAAAACAGGAGCATAGCAAACACGGACCTCCAAAACATCAGAGGTGGGATCAGGTGAAATGGAGGAGTGAGCATCCCCTGCTGACCGGTCACACCCGCCGTGTGCTCCTTGTCATGATCGGGAGAAAACGGAAAAAAACCGTCGTCTGGACTAACAATAACTATGAAAAACGTCAGACAGCATTTGACTCAATGATAAATTGTATTTGTTGACAAGGTCATTGTATCGACCATAGAACTAACGAAATGATTACTTTAAATTTCTAACCCCAGGGACGTAGCAACCTGGCCCCCCCCCCACTTTTTTTGCCAACAATACTTTTACTATTGAAAATGTTCATTGAAAGGCTGGTTGCCCCCCCCCCCCCCCCCACTTTATACAAAAGTAAAGTGAAATGAAGGAAATATAGTATTGTAAGCTGAAAAAATGGATATGGAAAGGAATTGGAAGTGAAAAAAAGTGTGCCTCTACACCCCCCCCCCTCCCCCCACGAAATAGGATTTTCGACTCTGGGCAATTTTCCTTTTTTTTTTTTTTTTTTTTTTTTTTTGCTTGTCAACTTTTTCAGGTAAGTAAAAAAAAAATTCAGTGGCTGGCCCCCCCCCACTTTCAAAATCGATGCTACGGTCCTGAACCCGTAGTATAAAATTATTACACTATGGGTTACATTTTTATTTCCGAGACAAATGCCTCTGCTTTTAAAGATATAGACTTCCTGAAATTGAAAGAAAGAAAAATCTAAATTATTTTTCTTTGTTTTTAAAGAGGTTTACACTCAAAAACAAGGAACGTCATTAACTCTTCAACAAAAAGACTATTTCGTCTTTCCGGGAGATGACGTCACTGTAGCTGTCAACTTGACCCTTGTCCCCAATGAAGAATACGCTATTACTTGGACGCGGACCGATGGAAATTTTACCAGAGAAATCAGGATTTTTGAGAATCCTAACAAATATTCTGGCGGGAAAAAGAGTGAGCCATCCTTAACCATTCTAAAAGTGAATAAATCAGACGCTGGACTTTATTCCATTGAGGTTTTTGGACAGAATACCAGTCTTAGTGAAGGACCAGCGAGAGTAAATGTTTTATCTCAGGAAGCAAGTAAGGATGATCTATACTTATTCTTTATTACCCTCTCTGTTTTCTAGTTGACTGCATTTCCATTGCATTTTAAAGGTGAATTGAAAAAAAAAAATTGGAAAAAAAGATCATGATTTTTTTTTGGCATCTTCTCTCTGTCTATTCTTCTTTCAATTCTTTTGTATTTTAAATAGTATTTAAAACGTAAACTGTATTTTTGACAGAAAGGCTGTATGAGGAATATGCACAAGCCTGTCCATCAGGATGGGAAACAGTTTATGGGATCGATTTTTTCAGTCCACGGGACGTTCTCCAGGGTTGTGTTCGGAACATGACAACACAAAAGAACTCTTTTTACGAAGCTCAGGGAATCTGCCGACAGTACCGCTCGTATTTAATACCCCTCTCTCCGACATTGTTTACAGATTCAAATATTGAAAGTCCAACATTTGCATATTTTAGAGACGGTGGGTTTCTTTATTTTGATACCTTATTTTGATATAGAATATTCAAAAGTAGTCTGTATTCTAAAATGATTGCGTTTTTGCTATATTAGCTAATGGCATCAAAACTGAACATTTTTGCCCAGCTTATGGAAATGATTTATATTATATCCTTTATTTAAGGTCCGTTGTCTTTATTATAAACTATTTACTATCATGTAAACATTGTAGATTTCTGGACAGGGGGATACGACTCCTATGGATTACTGGTAATGGACGGGGCACCCCCTAGCCCTGTCAGTGCAGAAAGCGGCCAAAGAGGGTAAGTGTTTTATTTAAAACCTTTCAACGCGATAGCTTTCACACTATGAAATGGATAAGATTTTGACATCTCAATTCATATGAATAGGTCTGTAGAGAAAAATATGCTTGGTGTTCAAATTGGCACTATTGTTACTAAAACGGCAGTGTTTGCGTATTATGCTTTACGACCGATTCTCGTACTGTACAACTTCTTGAAACAGAGCTTTGCAAAGGTATGAAAGTCTTCAAGGAATAAAATCACGAAAAAGAACTGAAAGGCATTATAACTAGCGAAAAGACCACTACAACATATATTTTGCCATTGGAAAGATACAGTATTAAATTGAAAAGACATATATACATGCAGAATGTTTCAAAAAGGTTAGCATGAATTAGTTGAAACGGTGAATACGACGTTTGAAAACAAAAAGTGGACAATCATATTTGGACAATTCTCCTTTTTTGCTTCGTAGCACAAACGAAGGTTTCAGATGCTGTAATTTCATCTAAAGAATGAATTTAATTGATGCAAACTACCAGAGTTGTTGAATCTGGGCTCAAACCTATATTTTCCTAACCAGTTTTAATTTAAAGTTTCTGAAGATCTTTATCAAGAAAAACTAAAACTTATCAGAAACAAACTGAATGACAAGTTTAAGTTCTTGGAACAGATTTATGATATTTTAAAATCAATGCAGGACCAAAGTCCAATGTATGATTTTTCACGCGATGAAAACTGTAGAATGCTGGACTTGACTTAATTTTTCTGTATGAGTGAGTTCAGTTTAAAGAACAAGTCAATTCTTAAAAAACTGAAAGCTCTATCAGACTAAAATATCTTAAAATATCGCACCTCGGGATGCTTACTTTAAAATAAAAAGTTTGGTCTGTAAGCTTTAGTTACCTATGTCTTGCTATATCATATTTCTATTATCTTACCTCGATGAAGTTGAGATGAGCTTATGCTTTCACCCCGGGGTTGACGTCGGCGTCCCGGTTTTAGGAGCAGGTATATTCCCAAGTAACGGTAATAGCCCTACTGGGACCAGACTTGTATGGATGATGCATTATGGATGGACAATACCAGACTTGCTTCAGATGTTGGAACTGACTGACAATTTTTGATGAGTGAACGAGTTCAAGTTTTGGGTGCAATTCCATTTCAAATTAATTTTAAGCCGACTTAAACTTACATGGATATTGATTTTGAGATCGATGCATACTAACTAGAAAAAAAAAATGAAAGAAAATGTGAGCAAGCTCACGCTCCCCCAAAACTAGACAATGTAATACATAATGAATGGCACAAAAATAATATGGTAATATGCACATCTACACACTGTGTACTAAATATCTGCAAAGTTGGACCAAATTCTGTGCAGTGGTTTATGAGGAGTTGTACTTACAAACTGTTCATCTCTATATTCAAGGCCAAAGATCTAAGTTGAAAGATGCTGACATTCCCAGAAAAATAATGGAATCAGAATTTCCTGGTAATATGCACATCTACACACTGTGTACGAAATATCTGCAACGTTTTATCAGACAAACTTCTCATCTTTATATTCAAGACATGGCCTAAATCTAAGTTGAAAAGTGCCGAAATTCTAAGAAAATTTAATTTGAATAAGAATTGCTTAGTATAAATTGTGTACGGCGGTTTATGAGGAATTGTGCTGACAAAATAGCAGGACTGACGGATTGAATGACTGACACACTAACGGACTGACGGATGGGTCAAAAACATTATAAATCCAGCAACTTGTTGCGTGGGATATAAAAATTATTAGAGATTTGCCTTACTGATAGACGTGAGCTTTGTAATCTTTGATTAAAAAGAGAATCGTTTATGCTGAATGTTTTATGATGTTTGCTGTTTGAAGGTATTGTTCCGTTGGAATATTAGTCCATTCTATTAGTTAGCCTGATGCATAACCGGTGCTAAAAGAGGCTCAAGAATTTTGCCCAAATACCGCATGTTCCCTTTACCGAATCAGTTACTTTCAGGTACACAGCTATCTGCATAGCATTCTCCTTCACTCGATGTACACAGGGTGGCCGTCGTTAAATATGGGTATGTCTAAGAACAAGACCTTTCGAGACATAAGACTTTGTCTAGTTACATTCCGTAACATTTTAGCCGAACATTTACCAAATATGTTAATGTAGGGATGGTTTAAATAAAGCTTACTTTTAAGGGGGAGTTCAAGGAGTTTTCGTTAGTAAACAGACAGGTCGCCGACAAAAAAAAACCCATATTAAACATGGTTAATCCAAGAAATTATAATTATATATGCTCAATTTCTTTGAAAAGGAATAGTTTTATATATAAAGATGAACTTCACAGAATATATCTCTTTCAGATATACATACTGCAAAATTCATTGTGCTTAATTTAAAATTTAACTTTTTTACAGAAATTACAGGTACAATAAAATTTCTAAAATCATTAAATCTTTTCCTCTTGTTACAGAATAGTTGTTTCTCAAAACTGGACAGACACCAGCCCTCTTTGTATAGGAACCAGGGATAGACTGCGTGAACTACAAGTACGAAGTTGTTATGAAAGGCTTCCATTCTTTTGCTACAAAGAGGCTGATGTCTTGAGTTTTCGACTTGGTGAGTTAATTTTTCATTTTCCGACCTTACATGGATTTGAATCCAAATCTCTATTGGGAATACATTTAATAAAGTCGATGAACGTGGGCACTGTTTAATCTAATCTTATAATCCTTTGGTTCTAAAAGCCTCAGTGTAGTCCATTTTTGACGCTTTTTAATTACCGTAGATCTGAAAAATTTTGCTGTAGATAAATTTTTAGCAAATTTGCGAGTTCATTGCATTCGCAAAAATATTTTTCTTTAAAATAAATTACCGATATTAAGAAAATGTAAACAAAGCAGTGGTAATCCGCAAAATTTTGAAACGTAAAAATTAATCAACGCCATTTTGACCTGAATTCGCAAAATAAAATCGAAAATCGAAAATTTCCAGATTTACGGTATATCGTTTTAAAAAGAGAGATCAATATATCTAATAAATGTTTGTTTGTTGATCTTTATTTAAAACAAGATACAATGGATCTGCATTCTTCTTGTTATTTGACCTTTAAGTAAATATGGAATTCTTTGACAGGACTCAATATTTGTCCCTCTGGATGGGTCGGTTCTGCAGATGTGAAGTCGTGCTATCTGATGATGAGCGCAGATTCAGCTGTGTCACAACCAGACGCATTTCAATACTGTAATCAAAATGGCGGCCAACTTCTTCAATTAAATTTCCTTACAGATGAACAATTGGCTATGAGAATTTTAGGACATTATAGATTAATCAATACATCAGGTACTAAATATTTTTGTCATTGCCTGTAGCATTTCTTCTTATGAGAAGAAAACGTCTACACAAAGTTGAATTAATTCATACACAGAGTCCTCCCGATTTTATCAGACCCTGGCGGAAGTTTGGAAGGAAATAACAAACTTTGAATTTAACACACATGAATTTGTCACTGTGTATTTAACTGAAAGGTGGTCTCTCCAATTATTTCAAGATTGCCTGATGAGATAATTAAAATTTAGAGAAATTAATTTGGAAAAGATAACTTACAGCTGAATTTCTTTCAATGTCCCGCTTCAGGTATATCACTGCCCGAATTTGTATCACAATACCCCATCCAAACCCCAACCAAGTACTACTTAAAATATTTTTGAAGACGTGAAACAAATAATAGATATGAAAAACTCGTTTTAATTTATTCAATATTGAAAACAATTACTTAAATTTCCTAAGAAACTGCCAGGGGCCCGTTTCTCAAAAAGGCCTACGACCAGTCGTAAGCTTAGTCCGGACTAAATCAGTGACTAAACCCAAGAATCGGACTAAGTTGCGTTTCACAAAAAGGCGGAGACTTAGTCGAGACTAAATTTGGGTTTAAAT